TGTGAATTATCGTATCTTCTTGGAAAATATTACGTCATAATCAAAGATCATATTATAAACATTGGAGTTGTATTTACACCTGTAGTGACTCACTTTTATCACGAGAACGCGATTAATTTATTGAAAACAATTATTATTATAGCCAAGTGTACCAGTGACTGTTTTAATGTGCTTTTGTTTAACTGTGCTAAAAAGCATCCATTATTCTCACACTTTGATTGTGACCTCGCGCGAATTCAGTTACGCTCTGTAACCAAGCTTCTATCCTGGCACGATCTCGGTATCCTTTCGATACCACGAGATCGCCATCTAATATATCTCGACTTGGTCCATTAACTGCCTTCTGATATTTGGCTTCTCGGGGATTTTATGGATTTATTTGGTTACGTTCAACCTTCGCCTTCTGATTTACATGGCACGTGTTTTTTGGTAGCGGTGTTCATAGTTATTCTCAACTCGACACCACGCTACACACCTTTTGAATACAAAACCCTTGATATATACGTACATTTATTTTTAGTCCATCACATAACTGATGTTGCTATTAAAATGCTCACCCTCCATGAGGAATTAAAGTCAATTAGTGGTACAATAAAAATCTGGACAACGCACCAATGATTTGATTGTAGAATGTTGGATGCCTGAATATGTTTTAATAAGGCATTGAGTTTTGTTGAAGTAAAATGCATTAACAAGAAAATATTTGAGATAAATTTGTTCACAACAGCAAAAACTGTAGCTCAGTGAAACAAAAACATAGATCAATAGTCCTGGGTAGATCCTAGAGTAAACTTCTTGCAGTCCACTGAGGTAAAAAAAGATATGTCCAGGATTATGTAGTGATAACACACAGAGACTTAGTTTTGAATGTTTATACTAATACCACGTCTCTTGAGTTTTTTTATCGTTTTATCAAAAATTGATACGGGCATCAAACAAAATAAGACCGAAAAACGTCAAAATCTGTAGAATTTTGCTTAACATCTATTAGGATTCGACGAGGAGAAAGGACGGCCCACCAGTAATCGCCGTTCAACTCTGTTCCGGACATTCATTTTTGGTTCTTTTCAGTTAATATTCATTCTCTCTATGTCTGCTTCCATCTTTCGACGCAATCCGTTCGTCGGTCTACAACTTTTTATTCTCCCTTCGGGACTCTAAGTCATGGTTTTTTCATGAATCAATTCCATAATTTCCTCAATGTATGTTCTAATTTCCTCTTCGGTTGGAAATTGGTTTCTTCTCCATCACAGTAGTTCGTTGCTGATGGTATCCGACCAACAGACATTCGGTATCTTACGAAGACAATGCTTTATAAATACCTGTACCTTCTTAATGACGGTTGTGGTAGTTTCCGAAGTTTCAGCTCCGTACGGTAGAACTGTCTTTACGTTCGTATTGAAGATTCTCACTTTGATATTGGTTGACAGTGGTTTTGAGTTCCATATGTCCTTCAACTGTAGGAGTGCGGCTGTCGCTTTGCCAATCTATAGTATTCTAATTATAGTATGAATTAGGAATTCCAGGATTAACGCAATTGAATTAAGAAGACACAGGCACAAACGAATGTATTGTATTTAGAATTCGAAATCAAACATTCAACAAGTACAAAGGTATCATTGGTTCATTCAAACACCACACAATCCTCACCTGCACACCTGCATTGAATCCTCCTTGTTCATCGATGGTGCTACCCAGATACGTGATAATTTCCACCTCTTCCAGAGCTCCTCCATCAAGTGAGATTGTGTTGGTGTCCTGTGTGATGTATTTGAGGATGTTGCTTTTTGCCTTGTGTATGTTGAAACCTATTGCTGCAGAGGCTGCTGCTAAACTGGTTGTCTTCATCTGCATTTGTTCGTGTGTATGGAATAGAAGAGCTAGGACATCTGCGAATTCCGAATCGTCTAGTTGCATCCAGGTTGTCCATTGTATTCTGTGCTCCCCTCGGATGTGGAGGTCTTCATAATCCAGTCACCCTCCGGAAGAAGAGAACGAGTGAGAGTAATCAGTCTTCACTGTTTAGAGTCTTGTTTTGGAACGCACCTCTCAGCTGTAAGCCATGCACCACTCTGCAGTGCAGTCCAGCGTTTGGATTCCGGAAGATGTTGACGATTCTCTCAGCCACTCACACCATAGTGTCGAAGGAGGTTCCGTATAATTCTCCTTTTCACGTCGTCAAACGCTTTCTAATAGCCAAGGAAGTCGAAGTGTATTGACGAGTTCCACTCAATTGACTATGCAACGATAATCCATAGTTTCACAATTTGGTCTATGAACGACCGGACCTTATGGAATGTAATCTGCTGATCTCGAAACTGTACGTCTACTGAATGCTTCAGCCAGTTAAGCAATACTCTGTTGAAAACCTTTCCCGATATTGACAACAGTGTGATTTCATTACTGTTCTCACATTCCCTCGGATTTCTTTTCTTTGATATCTTGATGAGATATCCTTTTATCCAGTCGGCTGGCACTTGTTGCTCCTCCCAATTCTTCTTAACTAAACTGTAGAGCATGTTTGCAGTTACCCCTATGTCTGACTCCAGTGCTTCAGCTGCTATACTGTCAGGTTATGCTGCTTTCCCACTCTTGTTTTGTCTGACTACCGATTGTCGTTGGTGGAGTAACATCTACAGGAAGGTCTGTGGGTACTACTTCGATGTCCGATAGATTCAATTGGGCTGGTCTACTCAATGTTTCTCGGAGCATCCTACACATCTGTGAATCTGTGCTTGAGTCTCGGTGATTATTTTGCCTACTTTGTCCCTGACCGTTATCTCTGGTTTTCTATATTTCCCTGATAGTTTCTTCGTCCTGTCATATATCTGTCTCATATTTCTTCTCCTGCAGCTTTTTCCTCTTCCCTTGCTAGTGCTTCCACGTACTTTTACTAGTCAGCTCTTATGCTCTTCTTCACTTACTTGTTTGCTTGTGTTTATTCGGCATGAGCCTTGATTTTCTCTGTTGTTGTTCGGCTGGTGTTAACTGCTGTCTCTTTGCTCTTACTTTCTTGAATCTTGTCCAGCTTTTCGGTGTAGATCCATTCCTTCTGACACGTTGAAATTAATGCCTCTATGGTACTTTCCCGATTGTCCTACACAGAAGCTTCTACTTATTACAATAGATACTGCGAAACCCGGAGCCTATTGTTGACTAGTCCTTCTGGTCCTCCACATTGTCTGAATATCACATGCATATGTAGTAATTTTTGTTCCGGTTTTCAGGAGAAGCATCGACCTTGTGACTTACGAAGAAACTCGGCTGTAACCGTAAGGTGTCATAATTCTTCAGAATGAAGATCGTCCAACTCGCATAGCTGAAACTGTTTGAATTGTTCACTCTGGTTGGCGCATTTTGCAGTTGAGAAACAGGACTACTGAAGGAATAAAAGGGCATAGACGACTAGGGTGATCTGTTCTTGAGTGGTGATACACTATAGCATTGTGTCGCTACGTGAAGTCTTGTAGCTTTTGTGGTTTATACAAAACGTAAATACAGCCTAAGTGAAGATGTGACAAGTGTGAAAGGGTCGTAAATTCCCTTATTGCGCTGTCAATTTTTTTAGAATATCAATTTAATCCACTTCGATGGGTGGGCTTAGTATCTCTTAAACTTCCTCTTGCTTACTGGCTTTGAAGTCATTAGTTTCAAGTGAAGTGATATCTAGAGTATATGAAATACTGTTGTTGCAATTTTTTTCATTTATAACGAACGTTGTTTTGGACATTACATTAAAACCCTTAGAAACCACAGATTTTTCCACTTCGGGAAATTGGCTGAGTGAAATAACACTTCATACTTATCCAATTATGTTAATCAATCTAGAATAAACCAAGGGTAAGGGGTTTTCAGGCCAACTCACTATAGTATGTCCCGTGGGAACTAATGTTGTTGGGTTGCTCAATCATACTTCGAGCCTCAGACCGTATATATACCACCCGTTAAAAAAGGGAACGGTGTGTAATTAGGTTAATAGACCAAAATATGGTATACCACCGATTATGGTTTACATCTCACAAAGACATTATTTCAAGGCTACTGCTGAATCTGTTTGACGTTTCGCCTTTAAATTCCCGAGTACTGTGAAATTCTATCTCCTTAACGAATAATTCCCATGCAACTGCCGACCAGCCAACCAGGTATATTGGCTAGATTTGATCCGGCTGCCGAATTTAATACGTTTTCTGAATCCAGACTTTTAGGGAAGTCCCCTAACTTCGGAGCAGTAGGAAATTTACAATATTTGAATCAAGAACTCTCACATAGCCAAAGGCAGGTGCTATTCACATAGAATTCCGTAGAATACGCTGTATTGAATGGCAAGACTAAATTCCTCTACCTGTCTGTACCAAGTTACTACACAACTTTCAGTTATAATAGTGACAATAAAAAGCCTACATAAAATGCTACGGGTCAGTGATGAATTCTAAGCACTGACTGTAGATTTCTGTTCAAATAGCTTGGCCGAAATATGCTAGGGATTTTACACTGGAAGAGCAACAGTGTTGAAGTCTATTTAAGTTGAACGAAAATGATCTGATACTCTAGCTTACCTCACCATTTGCTAAATATCCACTTTGAACCACTCTATCGTGACTGCTAAGCAATGTGATAGATTAGGTGACCTTAAGCAACAAATGTAACCACACTAAAGCAATCTCCTACACCGCACAGAACATACTTCATGAAAATGGCGTGCGGAAAAACTGGAGGATAGGCCAATGAATGGCCTTGGAGATATTCAATAAGCAGTTCAGTGTTTGGTAATCAGCCCACCAATCTGAAAAATGTCCGGCTAGACGAATTTCACGTACATTATATAGCTCACCACCATGATATCTAACCTAGAATACTGTATTCGGCCAGTCAACTTATAACTTATTGAATTTTCGGACACCGATGTATACTTTACAGGGATGTATCAACTTACAGATATGACTGAAAATTGTTTGTTTAAGTAACCTGATATTTTTTTAATACACGTTCCCCTATTCAACATATGTAATTCGTTTTCGATGTCAAATGTTATGGAAGCTACAAGTTCCCCTGATGAAGCAGGTTGGTTTCTTCCTTTCGGATTCAATACTGATCTTTTTTAGGTTTGGATTCCACTCTCAAATATGAAAAAAGTCGATATAATAATGCAAATGTATTTCTCCCAAATACTCCAATTATAATCAAAATTGTTCATTCTTGCGAATCCCAGATAATAATAGATGCTGGAAATCAGTTACAATCAAGAACTGGGTCATTAGCTGGGAAACAACTCCCCCATGGCAGTCTTGTACTCACTAACCAGAGTTGGTATATGTTTTCCAATATATTTTAAACATACTCTATCTAGGTACGAGCTAAGATTGAAACATGGAGATTTCCAGTGGAGTGTTCACCGCACTTTGGCGGAATTAAAGTCTTTCCATACTTCGTTTATGCTACAGAGAGCCTTGCTATCAATAAGTAATAAAAGGTAGTTAAAATATTCATATATTCTTTTAGCAGAAAGGACAGCCGTCGAAAACTTAATCCGTTTCCTCCAACTTTTGAATTCGCTAATGATAAAAAACTATGTAATCGAAGGGTAGCAAGATTTATTTTAAAAAATTATTTTAGGTCATGTTGGAAAAGTACATTCAGAGCATTATCGATGTACGAGAATACCGAGAAACAGATCTAGTCGTGAGTTTTTCGTTACGGTTTTTGTATGGAATGAAATTGTCTTGGTGCTTATTACTGAAATTTTAAATCCGTTTTGACTGTCAAATTGGAAAGTATATATATTAGAATACAACATTGGATCAACTTAGAGATCACCATTGCTAGAACTAGCACACGATATCTAGCATCCTGTCCCTTCCAAATCGAAACTGGAACTAGCTGGATATAAACTTTAGATTTTCAAGCCTCCTCTAACTTGAGTGTTTCCCAATAATCTCTAAATTCCTACGATTTAAAATATTTCGGCTGTATAACACCTGAAATGCTCCGATAAAATAGTTTTCTTATTCCATTGATACGCGTTAGTAAAACCTCAACAACATTTTGAGTAGCTTCAGGTTACCTAAACGCTTTTGTTTCACACCAAACTACTTAGATTATGTATTATGTGTTTGAATAATGCTATAAACCTAGACAAGTCTAGTTCTTTCGACTGTATTTTTTGAACATCTTGTAACTACCGACTTGTGAAAATATTGTCAAGTGTAAGTGTGGATCATTGACTTACTGCAAAAAGCATGGGAAGTAAAGCTGAATTTTATGAACAAACCGGTTTTATACCCACTTTCTTTGTCACTAATGGGCCATCTCTTATGTAAGTGATAGCACTGTGTACACACTAAAAGTTATTATATTTACAATTCAAACAAGGTAAATAATAGTTCAAAAATTATTCTTGTGATACACGAATACTGTATTTACATCAAAACAGTAGAGTTAGAATTGAAATGAAAAACCATACGTGGTTTTATATTTGGGTTTTGGAAAGTGCTTTCTGCGTGTATTTTGTTATGAAGGATTCAAAATCATGTACCGAGTCATCATTTTTTCCATTCTTTCAGTACTGACTGTTATATGTTTGTTCAGCACCTCATTTTAGCAACGAATATAATACATGGAAGGAGATCGATGAACTGACAACTATACCATTTTGGAGTAAACCTGTGCAAAACTAAACTTCGTTTACTCGCAATGAAATATTTCAGCACTGAAGGCCGTAAAATAACAACACATTGGTTGTCGTCAAGTATTCGGTCAAAAAACGAAAAAACTCATGTTATTTGGGGCTGTTTTAGTCTCTGTGGGGAATGTTTACATTTCTTTTCTTGTCCAAGAATCCCTCTTGAAAGCTATCTGGGTTTATCAATCCTAACAACTTTACTCATTACAAAATCTCTTACTCCGTATGAAATATTTTATTACTTCCCTGATTTACATGTTGTAACGTATGTTCAACCCCATCAACTAAAATGGTGATTTTAAATTTTAAATATTTTGTAGCTCAGACTTCTTGAAGTATCACCTTTATCTTTCGTGAATTGTTCCGGTGGTTTGAAATTAAAAGAAGATTTTGTTAATAAGCTGCCATCGTACAATTACTTTAATAAGTGCTGTTGTGTGTCAGGAATCTGTCTACAGAAGCGGTAAGTAAGCTTACACTGAGAAACATATTTCATTGTTGTATTTGTTTTTTTTACATGCCTAAATTTAACATATTTCGGAATTCATTTGACGAAAATACTGTCTTTAGCATTTTCCTTTGACAGATAATTTTAGTTCAGGTAATAGTGAGAGGCTATTTTACTAGAGGTAGGCACATGTCCATAGTGAATAAAATGAGAAAGTGGAATGTCTGGAAGTTTTTATTACCCTACGTTACGATATAGAACTTCTAGCCAAAAGGTAATGTCTATGAATATGGAGTTTTGATTTCAAAAAATTAGCACAATAAAAGTAACCTCAAATTATGTTGGTTTAAAATCCTGTATTTACCCTGGGGCAGTAGTGTGAAATTACAAAAATTAAGGAGTTTCGGATAACATAATCGATTTTTGCGGAAAGTCAAGTGTACAATAAAAGGTCTAATTTGAATGAATGAAAATTTTGATAGAGCTTTCACACTGAAGATTTATAGAATGTGTTCACCTTTGCCAATACGACCGATTTTGAAGTACGTGACTTGAATTTTTCAACCAAGGTTAACATTTGCCATGTGAAAATATGGTAATTAGGAGTGCTTGAATTGTAGTATAATCTAAGAATCCCAGAAGTAACATAATTTAACCAAGAAGTATTAGATTAGCACGAGTGATATTATATCATCTTCATTTTTTCAACCTATTCCAGTGCTGGACAGCACAGGACTTCGGAATACGATATGACAAAAAATACATATTACGCACCCGATTTTTTGAGTCAGCATCAATCAACAGCCTCATTGACCACCACCACATAAGAATTTTCCCCTATGTATTTACTTCTTCCAAAATACTTGTGTAGTTTCTGAAGACACTAGCGACCAGATTATAGCCATCTATTGATGCTTTATATCTTTTAAGTCTGGCAAACTCGTTAAACTACTAAAAATGTCAAGATAATTAGGTGGCCAGTGGGTTTGTTTGCCAAAATCTGTACAGAAAGTATTGAAACTGAGACCGAAACATATTTCAAGGACAAAACATCACTGTGCTTAAGTGCAATGAATTTAGTAAATCAGATTTGATACTTCTTGGTGGTACAGCCGATATTAGAATCTTGTTTGTTTGAGAACTACCGATGATTTTCAAGTTCAGAAGTCCCGAACTTGTTCTTAGTGAAATATGTCTAGGTATCACAAAAGCAACCAGAAAAACATTGAAGAATGTCTGAACGAAATTTCATGTTCTCATTTATTGAGGTCTGAATTACAGAAAAACAGGAGAAAAAGTGGGCCAATGAATTCTCAAGCAAATGATAGGAACTTAAATTTACTAATGAAAGCAGTCGGTAACAATTAACAATGAAATAAGCGTTAGCTTAGGACAGTCTGACAGTTGAAACTATGAACTGATAGAATTCGCATTCTCAGTTGATCTATTCCAAATTTACTTCGGTTAATACCACAAGCATTCATATATTACTCGCTAACATCAATAATCAAGAGCTTCACAGTCAATATATCTTTAAACATCCTTAGATGTTGGCGATTGAGAAGTGATAAGGCTGTAAATTAAACCAAAGCAGTGTTTAAGAAATCGTTTAGTCGAACTGTCTTAAAGCTCGTAATTGTTGGACTACGACGTAGTCTAGCAATGCATCAATTATCTAATCCTTTAATTAGTTTCGTGATTTTTCCAATCTTAAAATTTACATAACTATAACTCTAGAACAGGTCGACTGATTTTGTTTATGGTAATAACAGTTTTGGACCTACTGAGGTTTTAAATTAAATCATGGTTGAGTCGACCATACAACTTGAATTTTCAATAAAATCAAATTTTGCTAATTTATGGCGTGTCTTAAGTTATTTACTTTCATTTTGATAGGTGGCTTATTTTAAAAGATAGCTACTTCGTATACATGAAACAGCATGGAGATAAATTGAAAGCCAAAGATATCGACAAATCAGCAAAAGGAAAACTAAGACTGGCGTTTTCAATTGAACTCAGTGGGAAAAACCGATCATGGCGTTTGTGTAATATATTCTTAATGGACCAAAACTTTGCGTTTAAAACGAGAATAGTAGAGCGATCAGGACAGTGTCAGCTGAAACTATATAATTCCCTTGGGTGAGCGTTTATTTGACCCCGTGAAAGTTTTCTGGAAACCGTCTGGATCTCTAGATATTTAACCAGGATATCAATTTACTCTACCAGAGCTTGGGAGAAATATGGAGCTAAACGTATTTCACTAAAATACTATTTGTGAAATTACAATCATATGATACAAATCGCAAGTGAAATGCTAATGATGTAAAGAAGGCTATTTCATATCAAACATGAATTTTCGGTCTCTATAAAAACCTATTTCTTATTAAGATACTGAAGTACTACCTATAAAAGTATTGCTAAATAATGGATGTCCGATTTTGCTAGCCCATTACCATATTCATAGCTTAAGAATTTATCAGGTTATCCTTGATGAAAGTGTATACGTTACCGATCATACCACTTTCACACACTGGCTGTAAATCCCACAATTTTAAACCTTATTACATTTTAGGAATATAATAACTCACCTCTCAATACTTGTCAACTTCGTTCAATGAATATTTGTCAGAATTTTTATTTTCCAGTAAACTCAGAACACTTGCAACTATGGTCCGATTGGTATCAGATTTTGTTGTGAATAAAGCATCATTACATCATATTTGTTTCGTAGCTTTAACAAACAATTACCGGTCTGAGAATAACGGAGCGATTCAAAATACATCATTACCAGATATTTATCTTCAGTCGCATTGACTACCTGTAATAAAGACACAGACTTGCTTAATTAAGAAAATTCTGTCTATGTTTGGTATTTCTGATAATTCCTGATGTAAAATAATATTATTTAAAATGCCTTCGTCAACTGGAAATAATTTGAAGTGAAAACAGCTATTTAGTACATCAGATCAATAGATGATACTTGTTACTTTTTGGTGCAAGAAAACTTTAAAAGATGTTGACATTATAAAATTCGATGTTTGATAGAATATGTGAATGTGCCCTCCTCTTTGTTAAATTATGTGCTTTATAAATTTGTTCACAGGTAATTGCCATGTCTTATTGATAAGCTTAAGCGAATCTCAAAAGTTTCAGTGGAGTGATTTGCATAAATTCTTACATCTCTGAAGCCATTTGTAAAAAGAGCAAAATACCTTAACTTCCTCTTCGTTAGAAAGCTAATAAATGTCATGGTCTGTTATTATTCATAATGATTTAATGATTTGCGTTTGTTTGTTGTTGTTTTATGTCAAAGCGAGTTAGTTGTCATTTGTCAATCAGATGATCGAATGAATGATTGGAACAAAGTACTTTCATCACACATTTACAAAGACGGTACTAGAGATTTCATACAATACAATCGTTTTGGATCATATGCACCTCCGAGGTCTGATACACAAATATGCATGTAAGTTTATTACTTAAGCAAGTTCAGCAAAGTGATATTTGTCAGTATAGGTATGTGGAGACTGGTGAGTTTTAATTGAGATCATAAACTGATCATCGTTAGACCACCACTGAAAACCCGGAAGCACAGGATGGCCATTTCGTCTATTATGGAATTCCACTGTAGTGCAGATCCAGGGTCTCGCACGCGGGACTCGAACCCGGGACCTTCAGTCTCGCGCGCGAACCATAACCAATCGAGTGCAAGCGTGTCGACTGTGAAGCATTTACCCACCAAAGACAATTGAAAATGGTTGCGCATTATCGTGGATTGGTTGAAGCTAGACATTAACACCGTTGGATTGAGGGTCAGTGGTCTAGAGGTTAGACGTTTGCGCGAGACCGAAGGTTCCGGTTCGGGTCTTAAGTGCGGAATCATGGATAATCATTGGTGGGCAGTCCCACACTAAGACGAGACGGCCATCCGATGCTTCCGGGTTTTCAATGGTGGTCTAACTATGATCGGTTCATAATCTCAATTAAAATTATATCTGCTTTAACTTAACATGAAAAGTGTTTTTGAATAGAGTTCACTAATGATGGTCAAAAAGCTAGTGAATACTAGATTTAACTTACTTTTTTTGGTGCTAAACTCTTCATACTATTAATTTCGCGAAATCATTTTATCAATCGAATATCAGGAAACTGGCAGTTAAAGTCTTTTTTTATTAAAGTGCCTTTCCTCGAAACTCAAGAAAATATATTTGTAATGAACACCAAGATTAAAATAATAGAATATATTGGTCGAATTCAACACAGAGGACACCAACCAAATCTCACTTGATTGAGGAGCTCTGGAAGAGGTGGAAGCTTTTAAGGAAGTTTTGTTCTCTGAGCTGGATGGTTTAGTCAGGGAGCTTTCATCGCTCTTCTGAACGACATCATCAGCACAAACTTCAGATAGAAGTAAAGTGTTCGAATTTCTTCATATGTGTTTCACAGCTTGTTCTGTACAGCTCGACGTTGATTGGTTCTTATTGACCTTAAATTTATCATTGTTTACTTCTGTGTTTTGGTTGTGTCCCCCATTGGTTTGATATTTGTTCCTATCACGTATAAGCGTAGCACCATCGATGAACAAGGAGGATTCGATACAGGTGTGCAGGTGAGGATTGGCAAAGCGACAGCCGCACTCCTACAGTTGAAGGACATATGGAACTCAAAACCACTGTCAACCAATATCAAAGTGAGAATCTTCAATACGAACGTAAAGACAGTTCTACCGTACGGAGCTGAAACTTCGGAAACTACCACAACCGTCATTAAGAAGGTACAGGTATTTATAAAGCATTGTCTTCGTAAGATACCGAATGTCTGTTGGTCGGATACCATCAGCAACGAACTACTGTGATGGAGAAGAAACCAATTTCCAACCGAAGAGGAAATTAGAACATACATTGAGGAAATTATGGAATTGATTCATGAAAAAACCATGACTTAGAGTCCCGAAGGGAGAATAAAAAGTTGTAGACCGACGAACGGATTGCGTCGAAAGATGGAAGCAGACATAGAGAGAATGAATATTAACTGAAAAGAACCAAAAATGAATGTCCGGAACAGAGTTGAACGGCGATTACTGGTGGGCAGTCTGTGCTCCACGACGCGGATTAACTGGCGTTAGTGAACGAGTGCGTCACTTTCGCAATCACATATTCCATCTTTCGGAGGAGACGTTTTTAACGCAAATACTGGTTCATAATTATAAAACTTTACCTAACATTAGATCCCCCAAGAGTGAAGCTTGTAATTCAATCCATAATTACTCAGTTTTTGAATTTTATTTGTCATTTTCTTGTACAAAACTCAATCCGCCAATTCAAATGATGCTTTATATAATATAATATAGAAGTTTCCTATTTTCCCCTGTCAAATAAAGGTTTATAGATGGGGCTTGTTATATGGAAGCCGTGGCTAAAGCAATTTCTCAAGCGCAACACGAAGTTTTTATTACTGACTGGTGTATGCATCCCACTGTATTTCTTAGACGTCCAGTACGAGATAACACATGGCGCTTAGATATGCTGCTTCACGCAAAGGCAGTAAGTTGTTAAGTTCCCGTATTTCCATCTTAACTAGATTGTTATTTGATAGTGATAATAAGGATAAAGTCAAATAATTTTCATTTCGTTAAAGTTTGTCATAGATAAGATCGTAGGTATATTCTCTTTTAAGCTGTCTGATAAATTACTAAACTGATGGGTTGGAGAATCTCCAGACCCTAGTCCAAGGAGTTGTACTAAGTTGATAATCGTAAATTTATCACCATTAGCCTTCTTAACTCAGCACCATTCAGAAACTTACTGTTTTTTCCATTTATTTGCCCATGTTTGAACACAACACGTAGTGTATATAAGGTACTTAGCCAGCAAGTTACTGTTTAATTAATGATCATCAATGTGCCGAAATATGTGTTGTCCTCCATGGTTACTGTTTCTTGAGGGAATAAATTATTGTAATTGTTTACAGGACGAGCTAGTTGACTTATTTTACGCTTGAGGGGACATTTTCAGGAGGGTTTATTCGTATTCTTCATTTGAAATTATACGGATTTGAGTCAGTGCCATGAAACTTTTCCGGTCTCGAAACAGCCGGGAGTTTTAATTTGTGGACCAGCGTCTGTGGAATTTTCATTATGGAGTCTTGAGATAAATCCTTAAAGGTTCATAATATAGTGGATATATTCCAAAAGATGCACGTGCAAATTGGCTAGTGATTAAATTTATTTTGTTATTTTTTCCTTCAACATCCTGACTCTCATACACACTACCGTTCTGTAGTAATGTTTCCATATTTCTTTCTAAAATGAAATATATGCATGCGCTAAGTCGTTATGGATGTTGAACGCACTAAAATAACCTTTTATATCCCGCTAGCACTATTTATTATCGTATGTATAATTGTTTACAAGGAACTAACGTACTCATAAATTGTTTAGGAAAATATCATATTGCATTTCTGTTACATTCCACTTTCTGAAACAACTTTCGCCATTGGAGCAGTAATAAAAATGTACATCTTGATTTTTTTAAAGGTTTGAATAATTTTTTTCTGGCTAGCGTTTTTTTAGCGAGTTAGTTTTCTACGGGATGGGGTCGCTAACTCCATGCCCAACCCTCCTCCTTTATCCGGGCTTGGGACCGGCAGTAGCCCCCGGAGGGACTCCAGGCGGAGTTACATCTTGTACAGAAGAAAATGTTTTATAGCCACGGTATATTGATGTCACTGTATTCACTTTTCAAGGGATTATTTTTCAGCTAGACGTTTGCTGAAGAAGTTGACATATAAGCGTATATAATACAATACCTTGTTCCATATAAATTATTAGTTAGCTTTTTTACTTTGTTTTTTCTTAATTTAATTAGACTTTTTGTGTGCGAACTGCTTCCATATAGACCCAGGAACAACCTTTAGTTCTCTTTTATTTTACATCTTATTTAAAACAAGTATTTATATTAATTAGTGATCTGGTGACCAGACTGATTGCTTTCAGTCTCTTCAGTTAAAAACCCAAGCAGTTTTTGAGTTAGCGAAAAGTGTTTTATTTATTTATGAAATCATGCAGTTTAAGATGGTATTGTTAAGTTATATGATTTATGCACTCACAATCACCTAGAGGGTGCACCTAGTGCATTCAGTATTTCGTTTAGAAAAAATTCTGAAGTTCAACGTAACGAAACAGAAAAAATATTAGTATAGGTCACCAAGCAAGACCGTTCTTGACATTTTTTTACAGGAAAACTTGCTGATTAAGTTATTTTCTGACTGTGGTCTAGGAGAAAAATTATATGGTATTAACGAAAAAATGGTTGGTAGAAATATAATGAACCCCTTAGGTTACTTTAACTAGATCTCACGTTTTTAGGATCAATTTCCGACTACTAGGGTCGCTTATTGACTTGGAATATACAATCAATATAGTCATGTTTAGTAAACACTCTTTTTATGTTGTTATCCGATTGCTGTGAAAGGTAAGGCAATAATGTCTAAGATACATACTCTGTTTAAGTACAAAACGTAGCTTCGTGACTGATCTGAATCATGGTCAGTCAAGAAATTAAGGGTGCTAAACACTTCACTTGACTTCAAAGTCTCATCATCACTGGTGGGTTTGAGCTAACGGTCTCTGGACGGACTTGTAAAGTTAGGTTGGCTTTCGTTAATGTGTACAACTTGTAACTTAGGAGCGTTATCCATCAGAAGTCCTTTATGTGTGTGAAACATGGCCCTTGAAGGTAAGAGATTTTCGTGTGTTACTAGTATTTGATCACGAATACATTTGCAAAATTACTCGGTTATCGTAGAACGAATGATTGAGTAATCGTAAAATTAGGCATAGAGGAAAAACGAAAAATCGGTTGACGATGTTATGAAGCTCTATCGGCCAAGGTTGTTTGGGTATATGTCGCGTTTGCTCAACCACTGTTTTCCTCAATGCTTCATGTTCACTTTTGTAGTGGTGTGTTAGAGGAAAGCTAGTGGTGGTAAGACCAAAACATCCCGTCAGTCCATAAAGCTTTTGACTGTTGATCTGAGTCATGTTGACTGGTATAAACTATCTGATTGAGAAACGTCAGATAACTGATGTCAGTGACTGTAGACGTTTGATAACTCCACTCGGAATTGATCTCAGTAGCGCAGATATATTCACACTATGTCTTTGTAAGTCTTTGATCCCAGCATTTCTTCATACATACCTGTTCATTCCGTTTAAAAAAACCAAATTCTCAATGTTGAGCGTCTCTCATTATCATTGTCACTATATTATTTCAATTTTTTCATTATGAATCTTTTTAAATTCACCTCATTGTACCAATAAGTTAAGGTACTTTGGGTCAACACATATATATTCCAGGCTTTGCGTTAATTATAACTGAATGAATGTGTTCTATACTACAATATGTATTTTCAAAATAAATATTTAATTTTCTTATCTCAAGTGAGTAAATGATGTGAAACTATATGACTAATGTTAACGTGTCATGTGTTTATACACTAAATTGTTAATTTAGATGGGTTTTATGAGGACTTTTGAGATTCTTTAGAACAGCTGTCTGTCAATGTTAAGAAGCTGTCTGTTAACGAGCAGTAATGATGCTGTCAAAATTAATAGTTCTTATGATAATGTGCCGTGCAAAATATGTCAGGGTCACTAGTATTAAGACAGTTACGATTACATACAACATTGTTGCGCTTGTATCTGGCGTTACATTCATGTCATTATTTGCAAACACCATACGATTTGATTGAAGTATCACTGAGAAATTATGTTTATTTATTTATAACTTATTTACTTAAAGTTAATTAAAGGTGTTTATAAGAAAATAATAGCTGTTTTAAATAAGCTTGTATTTTTGGTAAAACGTCTTTATTTAATCGAATAAGATAATAAAGAGCGTATTCTGTACCAAATTTTGTTAATTCTATGTTTTTAATGTGTGCCTGTTAGCTCACTTTTTTCAGTTATTTGTATTTGAAAGTAAGAAATCGTATTTGTGTATTGTTGTAATCAATATATATAAACATCAGGATCTTAGTAACGGACTCATTATAAACCTCCTTTATTGAATGCATAGAAAATTTAGTCTACTAGATTCTTAAATGGATATAGAAAGTTGACGTTGAAAATATAATAGTTTGAACTCCATTCGTCTTTCGATATTTAAACCAATCTGTTCTCACTTTGTAGTTTTTTCACTTACTACACATCCATTCGGTTGAAGGTATAAGTGATTTTAGATTAACTTCTGCCAAACCACTATGTCAATAATAATAACTTTCAATTGTAAATAATAAAGGCTATATTCTGTTAGTTTTGTCCAGAAACTTAAATCTACTTCTGAATTCTGATTGCATATTTGATCCTAAAAACGTTACATGGTCTTAAATCATCGTTTGTGTAGATGGACAATTCGAATTGAGACTTCATTTGAGTAGGTTTCTGCTGCTTCTGGATTTTTATAACCATCTAGTACAAAAAAAGTGTCACAATATTTAACTGTAGAGCTGAGTGGCAGAAACTACTTCTTAAAACTCACTCAATAATACAGGCACTACAGTATTGGATTCGACTTGTGAACATTCACAAAATACTTTCATATTGACGTTTACAGTCATAACTGTTTACACACAATTATCAAAAATATTTATTTTTAAAAAAGGTTTTCTGTAGTTTTTGACTCAAATACCATTTTTATTAATTCTACAATGTTTTTACACAGAAACAAGGAGTTAAAATCTATATAATGCTTTATAAAGAAAGTGAACTCGCCGTTAAATTTCGAAGCATAAAAGTAAAGCGCTGGCTTCGATCTCTGCATTCTAACATATATGTAGGTTTATATATTTTTTAATGAAATTTTATCTATGAAAATTTTGATGTCACTTATAATAATCTATTAGTTTTTATGAGGAAATAACATATGATAATAAACATAAATTTCATAGCCAAGTGAAAGCAAAAATTGTATAAAAAGCTAAGTATCATAAAATTTAAAATTAAATGAAACGATTTATCATTAGTAAACCTCTACTTATCTACAGTAAGATAATTTTTAAAAATAAATAAAAGGATCTCTGTCTCTTAGTAATAAGTGAATAAAGTATAAAATAAAATATAAAGCATGTAGTTTTTTTGATAATTGATTAATCCAACAGTAGTGTTGATAGTATAAAATATGAAATACGAACAGTCAGCTTAGTTTCAGTGTTCGTAGTAATCTTCTTGTCACTATTTAGCCTACTGTTCAAGATCCACTAGTTGTCATTTCTTAAATTATTTATGATGATCCCGTACAATCAGTGTTGACAATTCGTGATCGTTCAATAACACTTGTCATTAATCAACTCATAAAAATAATCCTATCATGTTCTATCTCGGGTTCCAAAGACCTTCTAGAAATGATAATTTTCACTAAATTATTTCGAAATTCAAGTATTTTTAATAACAGCTTGATAAAGATTGTTTTCACTCTGACTTTAATTATGTTACTCCCTGTAATTTCAGACTTTTGAAGCTATCAAGAAGGATTGAAATAGACTAGTGAATTCAATGTATTCTTCAAGCCTTGTATTTTCGTTAAAACTTATTAAACAAACCAAATGTATATGAACGTTAGCGATTTACTTTTTTACCCTCTCTGTAACATCAACAAGAAAATCCAATCGTCTATGAATAGCTTATTTCAAGGGTTTACTTTTGTGGGCAGATTAACGACGTGTATTTATTCACTCGTTTTTAATTTGAATCTTTTCTTTCAACGAAGATATACCGTTCTCCACGATCTACACGCTTATGGAGTCATCATGAGAAAATGGTCGCTGTTGATCAGTCAATAGTTTTTCTTGGTGGAATCGATCTGTGCTTTGGTAGATGGGACACCAATAACCACAGGTGAGATATAGATTTAAATCATTGTCCTGCTACTTTCCTATAATCTGGATTTTACAATAGTTTTTCGCAGAATTTATGACTAATGCTATTATTTCTCGAAAATGAATTTTCTTCGGTTTCATGTTAACAAGAATCTTGGATTCATAAATCAAAAAACATTTTGCGTCATTGATCTTCTAAAACTGTCAGATTTTACATTATATGACTTTCATAATGATCGTTTGAGACCTTAGAAACAAATTACAAGATATGCACATCGTTCTACATGTAGTAATCAAGCAAGGTTTCTGTCTACTATTTCATTCAAGCAAAATGTTTCATCTCAATCTTAGCACTATTTTGCCTGAAACTTCAAATCCTCATAAACTTGAGTTCACGTATTTAATCGGCCTTCATTTATACGTCCTTTTATGATATTTTAATATTTTTTTTAACATTTTCTTTTCTATAAAAACTACCTTACCTTATACCATCAAAAAGGGAATAATAATCATTACTGTCTTTTTGTTCATCAATCCTCTATTTATGTAAAAATAACTAAAAATAAAAGCTTTCGAGCTACTACATTCAGCTCAAACAATTATTTTGGAGTCAGCGCATTCTATTCTAGGATACTTTCAATGATTTTAATGCCATCTCATATTTTTCGATATGTATTCTACAACAAGTATGAACTTTAGCCTTTATCTAGCAAATAAAATTGTTATTATTGTTTAGACTGAGTTCTAAAACAACATAAGCTCATGCTACCAATGTTAATCAAGAACAGTACCCCTAATAAACTAATAACTTTCCAACAGAAATTGATCAGCGAATTCCGATTTCTTAAGCCTACTTATTGATACTCATAAAACAGGTGGAACATGTAGTGTACTATCAATTTAATCTTAGTTTTAAAAAATTAGAAGTTCTTGAGTGACATTGCATTCAATATACTTGTACGTTCAGTATTAGAGATGAAATAGTGAAAGATGTTTTTTGTTTTTAAATCTTTTTTTATGCGTACTATTTATATTAGTTGTATGTTCTAATTTCGTAACTTCACAGTAATAAAAATTACGTGGGGAGTTTATCTGTTCATACTTTAGAAAACATATGATTCATAAATTGTAACAATGTTTAAACTTCATTTTGTGACTATTTCTAATGGAAACTGCATCACAAGTTGACAAAAATCGAGTAGGTTTAAGATTAAGCGACAATATGCTGTAGGCATTTATAGATTACTGGAAAATTTTTGAAAATAATTCTCTCAAAATTAGTTGAAAATGCAGTAAACTGCCTTTATTTTTCATCTTCAGACATTTTTTCATACCACAAGAAAAGTGGTCTTAAGTATAAGCTATTGTTAAGCCTTTTATTTGTATAATGTGACAAAAATTTCATATTATTAGTCAGATGATTTTGTGAAAAAAATTGAATTTTCACAGTTTTGTGAATATTTTTGTGTCATTTATTGAGAACCTAACAGATTGCCGAATTGCATTAGCAAAGATATATAACCAGCTAAAGCTAAGGCAAATGTTTAAAACATTTTTCAGAACTTTCTTTTTCATATCACATTCTTATCTGTTCTTCAAAAGATTTGATTATCTAGAGTAATATACATACTGATTATTTTTAAAGGGAATCTTGTGTTTTTAAAGAAAACAACATAAATCATTCTAACGGATGAATTTTGCATTTGTTTCTGTTGCTGTCTGCTACCTTGATTTGGCCTGCTGATGTTCAGGAGGACAATGATGGCGTCACGACTAAACCACTCAGCTTAAAGAACGAAAATCCACTAAGATCATTAACCTGATCTACGAATCCATACAGTTGTCTTGTAATGTATTTCTACATTTACCGATGTACAAAATATGAGCATGTTTAAAACATGTTTAAAATCTAATTAGATGTATATTTTTAGTAGTTAAAACCCGTTCTAACGATTGGTAAACTTTTTTTAAAAAGAACGATCAATACCCCAATTTATTTTTATTTCGCTTCATCTTCAGATCGGTGTCTTGATCAATTGTTATATTGAGTCATCTGAAAAATATTTTTTTCAACGATCGTGAAGTTCATATATGTTATCAGACATTATTTCCTCGTTTTTCTTCTGTTTTATTACTAATCCCTTGTATGCAATAGAAACGTATTTTTTAACATTAAAGAATCTGTGTAGATAAGAACATTCATGTGAATCACAGTTTCCGTTACAAAGGTTTCAATGAACGATATTTCTCATGCCATCCCATTAGTCTTGGAAGTGTACTTCAACAGATGAGTTTTGAAAATATTGGTGATATCTTTTAGCGAACAAATACCTTAGCTTTAGAAGCAATTTGATTCATGAAAATGAATAATCTGGGTTTATCAAGTACTCTTATTCGTTTTACAGCGAAAATGTGTCGAGAATCTTTATATCACTACTAATTTACTATTAGCAATGTGGCTGTTTATATTGCTAATGTCTATGCATAAGGTGAATAAATACATTTGTTTTGGTCATCTTAAAATATTTTTCCTAGAGAAGGCAGTAATCAAATTGATTTAGAATCTAAGTAAAACTTTCAAGTGAAATGATACCAACCCTCAACAAAGGCTAAAATTTTATTAGACATGATAAGAAACATGTTATTGCAAAAAGGTTTACCAACATTATAATTTTGCAAAATACTTTCATGCAAACATGATCTCTATGAACTGGAATTATTCATAAGACAGAACAAAGTATATACATAAGTTGAGAACGTCAACTCACCAGTATACAGTTCAGGGTGTGACTGATACCCAAATGAAGTAAAAACAGTTTGTTTAAAAAACTATTACTTTGAACGAATAACAGTAACTTACTTAGGACCATTTTTATCAACGACTAATACCTTGAGTAAAATAGTTTTATAGGATAGTTTTTATTTTCTAATGCTTTTCAGCTAAATTAACCAGGTCTTGAATAATACTATATATATCTTTACAGTATGAACATATTTTCCGAGATGTACTACAGTTGAATTATTCAGTTTAGCAACAAGATAGGATAGTTTATTGTGACATAAAATTTTTAAATGAAATCTCTTTTATGGTATTACATCCTTGTCAAGTCCTCCTTGCCACTTAGTACTTAAATAATCATCTTAATTAAATGGTAAAGGAAATTTGTAGCTTAGGAGTTTCGTTCTCTGAGCTGGATGGTATGGTTGTGGAGCTTTCGTTATTCTTCTGGATTACATCAACACAAACTTCAGGCAGAAGTGAAGTATTCGAATTTCACCACATATGACTTACTGCCTGTCCAGTCGACATCAACCTTCATTGTTTATTGTTAACCTTCAACTTATTATCTGCCTCTATTTTGATAGTATATCCCATTGATTTGATTACTGGTCCGATATTTATCCGTGACTCTCCGGATTGGTTGATAGATTGGATAGATTTCGGTGAGTTCGTTGATTGGTGATTGACCAAAGTGCCAAGCTCGAAAAATTCCTTGGTGCTTTTAGGATTCCCTCTGTCCAAGATCTCAACATTTTTCCAATCGAATGTGTGCAAACAAACACATCCAATTTATCCAGAGTAATTACAAGATTACTGAAACATTTGGTGTATTCATCCAATCACTCCATTAAATCTTTCATACAATTCTTGGATAAGGTTAATGAGTTTGAAATCAACGACGACGAACTGACGATATCCTTTGACGTAAAAATCTTATTCACCGCAACGGAACCAAGCTTGACAAAGGAGACTTTTTCCCTTCTCTTCACAATCGACATAAATCTCCCAAAGTGCATGGTGCGTTGAAGTCAAAGTTCATGGAAACTCATCGATTTAAGATTAACATCGTATTTTTGATTCTACAATCAAATCTACCAACAGACGAAAGGAACACCAATCAGACCAACAATATCAGAACTTACTGCAAAAACTGTTGTTCAGAGACTGGAAGCCTCGAATTTACCAATGATCAAGCAAAAATGTGGATTCTTATGTGGACGACATGTTCATCATCAAGACGGAAGAGATGAAAAACACGTACAAACTGATCAACAACGTCTTTAATGATATAAAATTCACAATGGAAAATTAGTCGAACAACAAGCCATTATATCGGGAGCCAACTCACACGGCAGTAATAACTTCAGAACTTGAAAAATTAACTGCGTACAAACTCCATTAAAGAGAACAAAAACACACTGAAGCACATTTGCAGCGCAAAATAATGAAGAATAATACCTGGTGAATATCCTTCAGAAGAATGACCTCCAAATCACCTTCATCAAGAAATATCAGCCCAGCTTATCAGTAGAAACGAATTCAAGAAACCAGCAAAGGGACTATCCAACTATATATAGCAAACATATCATGAATTACAACGGGAGCATTGAAGTCGTCGAGAATAGGTGTAGCTCATAAATCAACAAAATCACTTCAATCAAGCCAATTATATTGGTAGTTTACTATCTTTTTTCATTTCTGAGTGACAAAAATGGATTGGTCTATGATGATAAATGATACCATTTTGAATCTTTATCTGTCCTAGTAACTAAATTCACTGAACAAGCTATGAGAAAAGTTTCTGGAACTTCATGGAAATATAGTCTGTTTTCTGCAAATCTGCTCAGTCAATTAGGTTTTTTTGAAGCTAGTTCTCAAAACATTTACACCATGTAAAATCTAGTTTTATGGCTCGAAAAATAAATAGTTTGAGATTTCCATCGTTTACACAATGAGTTTCTTGTTGTTTGTCAACAGTCATTTTGAAGTTCAGATTTATAGAATCTCTGAACGAAACGTTAGAAACAGGAATGAGAAATCCGATTCAAAACATGCAGCATGTTTAACTTTAATTGCACATTTAGTTGTGTTTACTGTGACTTAAAATGTTAAATCACATTTCTGAATGCGATTTTTGTAATATTTTCAGTGTAAGTCCCAAAACAACATGTGTGACTAAGAGATGTAATAGAGTTGAATTTTCGGGTAATTATTACAACACGGTAAAGTCAAGATATGGTTTAGTTGTATAGATAGCTAGTATATGCGGCCGTGCAAAACAAGTGCACCAGTTGTAATGAAAAATATATCATTCTTTTTTAATTCAAGTAACAAGAAAGCAGTTAGTTTTGTGTTGGTAATTTGTACATATTTGCTACAAAAGATGTATCTTGAAGATATTTATCTATATGCCAAATTATTTCGTTTTAAAGATAAAATTATATATTTATTTCAAATTTTATAAAAATTATCAATTTATTCTTTGTCTTTTTGTATGATTTTTATATGTAATGTTAGTTTGTAGATTTAACTTATTTATTTGGCTTACTTATTCTTGATAAACCAAGTTGATTTCATACCAATTAGAAGAGGTTATTGTTTCAGTAATGTATCGATTTTGTGATAGATATTTACAGGCTAAATATACAACTCTGTATGCTTATGCGTTCTCAAACTAAAATAATTCAAATGTATGCGATTCTATATGTGTGTTGTTTTATAAGCCGCATAGATACAAACTCGAGATATTGGCTATGATCACTAATTTATTGTGACACGGACTCCCGCTTCAGTGTTGATATGTAAGCGATCTAGATCATAATATATTTTAGGGTTTATGGAATTACTCCCACTCTGGTGGCTGAAAAAAAGTTTTACATTCTGTATTCATAACTAGTCTGCTTGGCGCATGAAATAAAAGACACCTACAGCAGAATTTATTTTGGCGTTTATCAAGCCTACATGGAAAATTATTTGAATAAAATTCTGTCCTATAGCATAATGTTAAACATACTGCTTCATTTAAATTATGATAGGCACTGTTTAAGACACAAATATCGTAACTTTTCTTGTACAGTCGGGATGAATTCCGTTATGAATCAAAATTCATCAAGCTCCTTCATATTTCAGTGGTATATGAAACCATTTTTGCTAAAATCTTTGTTTGTAAGACTTGTAAAAATTGGATAAGAAAAGTGAATTGTATATTTTTCAAAGCAAGGATTACCATCTTATTATTAACTATCAACATGGCCTGTTTTTATTTGTCCAAATAACAAACTATAGCGTTATTTATTAACTTAAATTGTTAGGTGAGGGTGGATGATATTGATGTCTGACGTCTAAGTGAGGAAAGCCGACTTTTATTTCAAGGGACATGGGATATACCCACTAAATACAGCTTGCTGACAGCAGTGATTTAATTCTTTTAGACCATTCATTAGTATCTAAAACATTTTTCATTGGTATGTATGGCAACTAAGTCAAATTATTTAATTTATTAAATTTTGTCTAACAAAATGGTTGGTGTTTATAATAGTCAATAGTAATATAGTTTGACTAGTAGCAGGTCGACTTATAAAGGAACTAAAGGGACTTATTTCGGTCACCGAAAGTTCATAAACCAGTTATCTCAAAGACACATAGTGAACTTAGTAAGTGTGCCAAGTTTGCTTTATCCTAATACTATACTAAAATAATAAGGCCGTTCCGCCATAATATACACAATGCGACAAAAAACTCTCGATATCAAATGCTGGAAAAAAGTAACAGTAGTAAGCTATGATGTTACAAATTCCTAGATTTTACTAATGGTTTACTTAAAATGATCATAAACCATCAATCATACGTCCACTTGAATTATTAGTTGAAATTTCTCTTCAAAATCAAAAACATGCTATGTGTCTCCATGATGTGTATTCAATGTTTATTGTACATTTATCAGATAAACGATGATGTACTACTAAGTATAAATGAAAGTTTAACTTTCTTGAATATTATTACGCGTTTAAATATGTTGCACCTCTACGGTTATTGTAATCTTTTGTCTAGGTTACAGGATGTTCACAAAATCGCTAAAGTTCAGGAGGTCAATGCAGAATTAAGAGTAAGTTGAAGAATTTACCTTCAGGAAAGCCAAAAATTAAAATCTTTCTTGCCTTCAAAGTGCTTCTTAACATGACTGTTTATGTGCATGTGTTTCAATTGCCTTGAAATGTATATTTATTTTAGAGTCGATTATTTTTAGTTTCCTCTTATTCACGCGATTCTTTTAACGTATTATTTTTTTATTTCGTGGTTCCATCGCCAAATATAGGTATTTCGCGGTTGTCTTGCATTATGAACAAATGATTTCAAATTTAATTCCAAAACAAGAATTAGTATTAATTTCACAAAGAATACCTGAATTTTAGAATGTGCAAAGTAAATAACTGATGAAAACATAAACGCAAAATGTTAGTACTATATCAAAAACTAATATCATTAATTAATCATTGCTCAGTAATCAGTGCCACATTTAACTAGTTCTTATTGGTGATTGGATTCTGTCTACGATGGTGTGGTCGGCGTACTTAGCAGTCATGATCAGATTTCAAAAAGCAGAGTTTTGATACTAGTAATGACATCGCATTTATGGTTGTAATTTTAAATACACAATTAGGTCTACACATGTTAGACAAAATTATATCACGTTAAGTGAATCATTCTAACGCACCTGCATATTATCGTACAATAAAATTCTATACCAAATGTCATTCACATGACCCTGACGTAAAATTATTTGTTTTAAAACCAATTCTTCATTACATGACATGCATTTGTTATTATAGTAGGCTTTAAAAAAGCATCTTAGTTCGGGAGTATGACTTTCTCTCTACCGACCTATTCATATGATATGATACAAATACCACGTAATTTTCAATTTGTCACACAACACCTTCCAATCATTTCGACACATTAATCATATATATTGATGATGTGGAATCAATGTCCTGTATTGAAGATCAGAGTCAATTATCTGTTTAAGACTCCTTTTTCTCAGTACAAAACCTTTGGGTATCTTTTAGAAATCTCTTTATCGAAAATCGATTTAGAAATTTATGTATAAACTGGATTATCAAATTCATTTACGGTTTTGGAGGAACTTACATTTAATAAATTGGTAATTGGGTAACTAGACTAAAGGTTGTTACATAGTATTATTTGAGTTATATCTTGGTCCTGAAGGTAATTCTCTGTAACTGTCACAACCTGCTCTTTGCTGCTCAGCTGAAAACTATAGACATTATCCCCTAAATATTCTCAACCTAGCCATGAACTATTAAGAATTCGAATCGTGATTGACGAAACCTATATTTTATGGAAAACAACACGTACTATTTACAGACTTTCTTCTGAATAATCAGAAACTATATTTAAGGTATTATAACTTGAAACGAATTTTACACTAAATACATGTCATAACTGAGTGAAGTGGTTATCTGAATACAACAAAATACAATACTAAAATAATTGATAGCTGAATTTATCGAAACGCAGTAAATTATCAAAGTGAATTCTTATTTTATTGAACTGATCTTTCGTCTTATTCTAGTCTGTTCTTAATCAAGTTAATTTAAGTAGATCAGTCGAGTAGGGTTCAGAATTCTTATAGCCGCTAGGTAAATCCAGATACGTAGCTAATGAGGAAATGTCAACTAGATAAATTTTAAAAGATTTAAATATCTTATAGATGAAATTTAGAGTTTTATGGTAGCAGTCATTTCATCGAAAGAAATCTGTCATTTTCTTCTGTAGAAGAATTTCACGCAGTCTTTACAACACTGCGATCTAAAACCCTATTTTTCGCTTAAATGTACACATACATTTTAACTTATGCATAAATTATCAGTATTTTTCACTTAAAAAATCAATAAATTGTAATAAACAAAGAGGGTGGGTCGCTATTAAATTAGGTTTTTTTGGAAACATTTCGTTCAAAGTGTAAAACTGTATGAAGACCCAGGTTTTATTCATGATTGTGTTTCAACGAATAAATAAGCTATCGTGCTATTTCAGACAATGTTTACTTTTTATAGAGAATAAAAAGTCTACGTAAACGATCAAGGGGAACTTTACACCCTCAAGGCAAACAAAGTTCTGATTTTGTTAACTTGGAAATGCAAACAGTTGGCTCAGAAAGTGATCTGACAAACTCAAGTTGTGATCAAACGCCCAAGCCACGTCATCGTAGACTGACTAATGCGGTAAGTATTCAGGGACTTCATTAGTAATTAGTTACTCTTGTTATGTTTCTTACAAAATCATGTTGATGATAAGCAGATATCATTCATTTCAGTTCACTTTTTGTGAACTTTTTTCATCCCTCTCATCCAAAATACTAATTAAAGATTGCTTCTTGTTTGATAGTGTTACCAAAAATCACAAATACAAATGTAAAATTTATTTCTGTGGAATAAATATATCACCTAGCACTTCTTTAAAGCTATTGAAAGCAGTAGCTATTATCAAACTCAAATTTATAATCCTCAACGAAAAATATAAGGGGAGGTAGTGTTTAAATTGTATATCAGTCGATGTAGAACTGTTAAGGGAATATAGATTGGATTAAAGCACGTTTCGTGCAGGACTGTGTTTGTGAACGCTGATTGGTTATTTCTTATCCAATTAGTGCTAGTGGTTACTTCTTGTGTAAAAACCAGAGATATAACAACGTTTTTCTTATTGTAATTCCTACTTCCATCTACCCTTGTTATTTGGAATATAATTTCGTTCTTGTTCAACCGTGTTCTTATTTGGGGACTTTTCGAGTGAACTGGTGTCCAAGAACAAAAAGCAGCAGGAGTAGCTGGGTCGTATTAAGATCAGTTATAACAAAAACCGTCGACAAATAAATTTCTTGTTTCCTTATTATTCGTTTGACGTTTAATAATGAAATTCAATACAATTACCAAACTACTGTCAGAAATATATTAACCGTCAACACAATGATGTTACTTAAATCTGCAAACTAATTTCATTGAAGATGATTTAAAATCAATGTGAGTTACTAGAGACGTTTGCTGAATTCATTGGTAAACAAAACGTGTTGAATCTGTGGTTTTGTCAAATAGTTTTCCATGGACTATTTGAAGTACCATGACATCATTTACCTTCTGTTGAATTATAAATGGTGTATTATTGTGTAGTCGTGATTGATCATTGACTTTTTTCCCTTTAATGAATAATTATCAATCCAGTTAACTGATAAGAATTTACAACTTGATTCATCAGTCGGAAGCTTCCGTGACGTCATGTACATCTCATATTGAAATAGTACTGTACTTTACAATTTCGTTGTATTTAAGAACAATGAAATCTATTTTAATCGTATGAATCGAACTGAGATATGAATCATGAATAATAAGTAAATATTATGTTTAGAAACAATAAATCCTTTCTTGTATCTCAGAAAAAGTCGAATTCTTCTGAAGTCACTAGGTATTAAATCTCAATAGTACCAAAAGTCAAGAGTCCACAAAATCTATCGAATATTAAACTCAGTCTTCAGAAAGTAACTGATGTTACCTTCTACATCATTTCTGAATTCCATACAATTATAATTTTCATAAAAAATCTATACTTTGCATAGAGATTTTATTAAATAGACTTTTAAATATTATTGGGTAACATTCTTAATAAAAATAATAAAATATTATACAATCAACAGTCACGATAATTGGACGTTATTATCATTGTAAAACTACATCTTGGTTATCAGTCAACTAACTACATTACATTGATTTTTTTAATATTTTATAGGCACCTTTAAATCTTGTTTGAAAATATCTAAAAAAATTTTCATCAGCATCTCTTCAGCTATTTAAATAAATTTCAATGAGAATTATTTGTTAGATATCGATTAATTTATAATAATGATCCATCTATATTTACTTTGTAACGACTCAGTCAAATATGTTTGTGTAGAAATAATGATTAATTTTTAACTAACATTGCTAGAATAAAAGTTTTGTTTTATTAAAGTTAGATTTAAAGCATTGAAATCTTACTAATTAAAAAAAAATAATGCACATATTAATACATTTATTGTGTAGAAATATTTTGGTAGACAAATGTAATCAGTTCTGTAAACGAAAATTTCAATTTTAAGCAATAATATTGAGTTTATTCTTTACTTTTTAAAAGTTACAGTAAAACATAATATCTGAATTGTTGATTGTTAAAAATAATTGATTTTATTAATTTATAGTTCTAGACATTTATCTCAATAGTTTTCACAATATAATTAAAAATTTCATTTCATGGTTTTAATATATGCTCTAGTGAATTTACTCACTTATTTATTCGGAACATACTGAACAGAATCTAATATATTTCCTTTGTTCCATTGTTCCTCAAATAGATTCAACGTGCAGGAGATGCAATGCTTTCTATTATGTATCAAATGGCATTGGATAAAAAAGAAAGTTTAAGAGTTTTGAATGCTCAAATGAGTCCTGCTTACTGTGAGTCAGAATGGGGAAACTATGATAATGATACGCATTTAGTTTACGATAATCCATCTTATGAAGACGATGCTACAACAAATGTTGTGATACGCAAGTACGTTTCTCATTTAATTTGGTGGTTAACATACAGAGTGTTTTAAACAGAGAACTACAATGATCGTATATTCATTTCTATTAAATGACTGGAAAAGGAGTTAGAGTAAATATATTACCGTACTCATGATACACTAGAAAATCAGAAATTGAATACCATTCGTATTTGAGAACATCATATAATCTGCAGAGCAGCAATAAAGATATTTTCAGATGTTTTTCATTTTTCAGATCTTGATATAAGTCAAAGACCGATTAAAAATACGTAAGACTCAACAGGAGTTTTGTATTATTATGGCAGCTCTAATTAGTTTGACCACGGATCGAATCTGGGAGATTTATGTTTTACAGAAGGCGTGTTAAATTTAGTTCACATTGTTGAAATTTAGTGGTCTGCATTACACATTTTAGGAATTTACAAAATTGAGCCTACCACAATGCATTAATAATCATAATACATTTTACATTCTTAACATAAATAAATTAGATAATTCATGCAGTCTTCCTTATTCCCATGGTCAGAGACACCACAGATTGGTGTGAATGAAGGCTAACAAATTGTGGCAGTAATAAATCTGAATCAGTAGATTATAAAAATAGTGAACAGCATCACTTTTTGAAGTCTTTAGTGCCGAATAAACGGAGGTACTAGTTTATCTTCTGACAAATTTTCCTACAATTTGCTTATAATGTACTTTCAATGATTAAAAATATACTATAGTTTCTAGTGGTTACTGTTTCCCAGATTTGTGATATTCTTTCAATCTGGACAAAAAGCTCAGCAAACAAAGGAGTAACTTATAAGGCAGTAGTATAATTTAAATTTGATGGAATTTGATAAAGAATAAACAAACTTTTAGGTATTGAAAGTAATTATAGGTTTACAGATCAACCAAAATTTATCGAATAATGAAAAACGCATCACGTTGTATTATCAAACACTAGAGACTGACAACATTGGGAACTTTGTCTGTGTATGTTCAGATCTATATTCAATTAAGTATTTGTACCACACCGTGCTATGGTAGCTTATACTTCTTTTTAGACTTACTTTTGTGTTAATCCTCGTTATACATGGTTTGTCCGATAAATACTCAAAATGGGGACATAAAAGTGTTATAAATTAACACTATACCCTTTTAAATACCACTTGTTAATTGTATAGATTTGTGTCATTCTCCCTTCTGTTGTTCAAAATATTCCTGAAAGTCATTAAAAGTCATCCTGTTCATCTGTCTTGCCGTCAAATAGTTTCCTCAACTCCAAATTTTCTCTTATAATTGTGTCCTTGAATAATTTTCTCAAATTTATTTCAGAATCAGTTATTAGGTCAGTAAAACGACGATTAGAAACCTCAAGTAACTACTTACGTCCATAAATGATCATTCTGTTAGTGGATCATAATCACAGTCTTCATAGTTTTCAGTTGAATAGTGTTTCCCTAATTGATTTGTATCCAAACATCCGTCTATATTTCAAACGTTTCCTGACAGTTTTGCCAAAATCCCTTGAAAGTGTACTACTGTATGTACGTTTTGACAAACGATCATTATACATCCTTAACATATGACCTTGCAAACCAACTTAGAAAATCTTTTTGCAAACTGGATTATGAAGACCTCCACATCCAAGGGGAAGCACAGAATACAATGGACAACCTGGATGCAACTAGACGATTCGGACTTTGCACATGTCCTAGCTCTTCTATTCCATACACACGAACAAATGCAGATGAAGACAACCAGTTTAGCAGCAGTCTCTGCAGCAATAGGTCTCAACATACACAAGGCAAAAAGCAACATCCTCAAATACATCACACAGGACACCAACACAATCTCACTTGATGGAGGAGCTCTGGAAGAGGTGGAAATTATCACGTATCTGGGTAGCACCATCGATGAACAAGGAGGATTCGATGCAGGTGTGCAGGTGAGGATTGGCAAAGCGACAGCCGCACTCCTACAGTTGAAGGACATATGGAACTCAAAACCACTGTCAACCAATATCAAAGTGAGAATCTTCAATACGAACGTAAAGACAGTTCTACCGTACGGAGCTGAAACTTCGGAAACTACCACAACCGTCATTAAGAAGGTACAGGTATTTATAAAGCATTGTCTTCGTAAGATACCGAATGTCTGTTGGTCGGATACCATCAGCAACGAACTAGTGTGGTAGAGAACAAAGCAACTTCTAACTGAAGAGGGAATTAGGAAAAGACACTGGAGGTGGACAGGACATACATTGAGGAAATCATCCAGTTGAATCACAAGGGAAGCCCTGACTTAGAGTCATGAAGGTAAACGGAAAGGAGGAAGATTGACGAACAGATTGCGTCGAGAATTCGAAGCAGACATGAAAAGAATGAATAGGATCTGGAAGAAGTGGAAAGGATTGTTCAGGATGGAGTTGGATGACGACTACTGGTTGATGGCCTTGGTTCTTCTATGAGGTGTAACTGGCGTAATGAACTCGCTTGCTACCTAATTAAATAGGTTACTTAAATTGAATAACCGTAACGTTGTTAAATAAATGATATCATCAGAATGGATGTTTGTGGTGATTGTAGTTCTTTTATGAATTTAGTTCATGAGCCGATTTGAGCTAGATCACCATGTTAAAACTTGAACTGCAGTACGGCTGTTTCTACTTTGTTTGGGACTCTCCAAAAGCGCGCTCACACCATCCGTCATAAGGTACTCGAACCCAGAGCCTAAGGTCTAACTCGCAAGCGCTTAACCTCTAGAGCACTGAGCCTGAATTGAAGGGTGTTAATTTCTAACTTCAATCGCTGGGGGCTAAGTGTTCTCTTGCGAGACCTTAGGTACTGGGTTTGATTGCAGCGTGAGGTATCTTGGGTCAGCACATCTGAAGAGTCTCATATTGCAGGACGAAACGGCCATTCAGTGTTTCCACGTTTTCTATGATGGTCTGGTTTAAATTGGCTCATGAATTCAATCATTAAGATTACTAAATTGTCTGTTTAAGCTCATTGCTAGAAACATTGCGTTACTAAAAAATACAAAGTACTATATAGTATATTAAATTTTTTACTTATTTCGAAATTGAATAACACATCAAACTCAATCGAAACATTTTAGATATTCTTGCTAAACATAATTTTATTTGCACATGCATTCAAATAATTCAAATGAAACATTTAAGCCAGTAATAAAAATTATATGATGTTTGAAAGATCAGTTTTCAGTTTTCCTCGAGTTGTATTTTAGGACTTATGTCCTTTAGATTTTTGATGTCTAGTAAGCAATATCGTTTCACAGTAATTTTACCTCTAAACTTTCAAAGTAAACATTTTTAAAGTTCTGAATTATTAATTTGAAGGATTATTACAATTTAACATTTCAGTATGATGTGTGTTTAAATTAAAAAATAAACACTCGGCTTTAATCACAATAAAGACATCAGCAAATATTCTTAAAGGTAAATTATTAAAATGCTAAGAGAGTCTGATGATTATTTTTGATATCCCTACATTTGTTTTAAGGATATATGGAACCGTAAAAGCATTCTCTTGTTAATGAGAAAAACATTTTAATGTTGTTTTATGAAAGTAGCTTGCACTAGTTGTATTTAAAATTTATAGATAATCATAATTTTGGTATTTTCACCATAACTATAAAAACGTGCATAGAACACCACCTATTAAATGTTTTTTTCAGCCTATCGATGATAAATAACAACAATCAATTCATAATTCATTAAAATTTAATACAAACACTCCAGTTGAGACTATAATTTATTGGCAACCTTTGAGCAACGTCAAAGTGACAATGAGAAAATTCACCTAAATACTAGGGTCTAAAGGGGACTACCAATTAGTGTGAGAAATCGGAAGTTGGAAATTAGAATCAGGGTTTTGAGATGGTGGGGAAGATTTGTAGCTCAGATGGATGATTTTGATAACCGATCAACATTGAGGTCTGCAAGACAAGCTGAGAGCTATATATGGAGAAATTCGAACACTTCACTTCTGCCTAAAGTTTGGGCTGATGATGTCGTTCAGGATAACGATGGAAGCTCTACGACCAAACCATACAGCTCAGAGAACAAAACTTCATTAGAATCAGGGTTTTCCTCACGAAGTGACATCAACTATAACAGTGAAATGATATTTCACCATATGGATACAGGGATTTCATGACACAACACATGACTCTCTGTCTTAAATCTGATTGCTTAGTCACTTAATTTTAGTCACGCCACATCCCATCTTACTGACTTGTAATATTGTTCGATATTTCTACCTAAAGCATAAATTAGTGATAAATAATAAAAATGACATTTACGGTTCTTGACTTTTTTAAACTTTAACTGGAATGTGGACTGACAAAAAACTCGTAATTATAATATCGACAGGTTATAACAATTGGTGTTGAGATTTCGTAAACTAAACTTGATGGTAAGGAATAGATATCTGTCCTTATTAAGAAGTTAGGATGCATAAACATTAGTGATGGACCATGCGTAAAACGTTTGGTTTTGACAGTTTATTACTAAGCGTTAACAACTTTACTAATGCTTAGTAACATTCTTGTTTTCAACATATCTGACTTAAACAAAAGGCAACTAGAAATGAGATGTATATAAAAACCAATCTTTTATCACCTACATTCATTCAATTACAAGTCATATGACTAGAATCAACATTGCTAACTACGTGAGCATGTCTTTCGTAATAGAATTATGAAGTACAAACCAATTGCTCATAGTAGGATGCTTATAAAAACAATCAAAATAAATCTGTTGTAATGAAGAATTCAAGAGTTTCTGACAGTGATCAGATATTAATTTCTATAGAATTTGATTGATTGCATGTATTTTGACCAATTATTTAATGACGCACTTTATGATCCGTCTTTAATAGTAATATACTTGATTATTTCAAAATGCAACAAAATACTCAGCCTTTTAACAGTTTTTTGTAAAAATAATTGATAATCGTTAAATTTATTATAATTACGAAGAGAACAGTAGGGAGAATAATGTCAGTAGGACAGTAAGAATCAGCGATGTAGCAGTAGTTGATTACAAAGAAGTGTCAACTAGAGTTAATTTAATAGGAGAGAAAAAAAGAATTAGAAGGCTGAAACGAAGTTAAGTTAATCAAATGAGCACTTGCAGCATGAAAGTTTATTCGCGGTGTCAGGTGCAAAAACAATTTACCATGTACTACATTAATAATAAAGATTTGTTATTTACATATAATATTTAATCCAATAAGAGACTAAATGATTTGTATTGGCGACCGGGCTACCGAAGATAGTCAAGGTTAGAAATATTTGACTAGCTAAGATGACAAGATATAGCATTACAGTCAATGAATTTATTGATTATCCTGGAGCCTTGTGGTTTGAATCTAATCACATAACACGTTTCTCCAAAATCTCAGTCATTAACACTTTACTGAAGAATTTCTTAATGTTGTTATCTGCGTAAATTTAGATGTTACTTATATTTTTTAATTGCTTAAAAATTATTACACCTAAACATTCAGGAAGAGATTTACTTATTATTCAGAACACAATGCTTGTTTCTATACTGAAATTCTTATCTTCTAGGAGCAAAAATATCAGTGATTATTTACAATGCTGCATTCTTGAAATCACCAAGCAAAAACTTAAGAAGTCACTGGATGAGTTTTATAAAAGATTTGCTTAAAGAATATGTTTAAATAACAAAAATGGAGAGAATGGAAATAAGTCTCTTCTCAAATTAGTAAACCATATGCATTTCTAAACACACTTTGCTGTAAAATCTTGGGCACTGTTAGGTCTGTAATTGATTATCTTAAACGAATAATACGTATCGCTTGAGTTATAATTGCCGTTTGTATTTGCAGTTCAATTTACTAACTTGAAATACATCTTTTATCAGACATTGTGATTCAACAAAGCATAAAAGAACATTACTGAAGTATCCTTAGCATGTAATTAAAATATTATATAATTACTTGAGGTCAAATTCATTCTATAGGGTGTAGTCGTACTTCATATAACAGGCAACTATTTCTCACTTAAAAACATTTTAATACGGTTAATCAATTAAATTTATAAATGACTGGACTGTAATAGATCGATTATGAGTCTGTTGAATTTCTTTATATATAGTAGTCTTACTAGATAAATTAGCTTTCTGTTTTACCATATACAACTCAATCGATATGGAATGTAAAAAATAAACGTAAGCATTTCAATAACTAATGTTGAAGAGTGAAGAACAGAAAAAGTCATAATGGCACTTGTGATAAAGGTCGACATGTAATTCATTATGTACATTATCTAAGTGAATATTAGATTTATTCAACTATATCATTATCGAACAGATAATTAATAAATCGTTATGCCACCGGATTTCGATCTTGTAAAGTTGCATATTGGGAAGTGAAACATCAGACCAAACTGAAACTGATTTTATTTCAAAATGTATCATTAAGTGACGCTGAGAACAATGTATTTCACATTGATTATAAGTTTAAAAATATCACTTAAATTAATACACCTTTATTGAATTGCTGTTCAAGTATTTAATACTTTTCTTGGATTCGTCGTAAGCACTTATTTTTGGCTTTGGTCTTAAAACCAGGAGTTTTATCTACCAGGTATACCATGCTAAAACTTATGTAATATAATCAGATCATAAGAACAATTCCGTTACGAAGCTTCCATTATTTACTAATAATTTTATTAACTATATTATTTATTAACACTAGCTTATTAGTGAACTATTCAGTAATAAACTTGTAAATTTGTTGAAGTATCTGAAAAGCGGCTGGTTTTGACTTTCCACACCCAGAGGTACTTATGATTCAAATTGCTGGTTAATCGATTTGACGTATCAGGTAAAGGATGTAAATCAAAGCCTATTAACACAGACATCGCAGGCAAAAGTATTCATATTTCTTAATCGATTTGTAATGCCTTGTAAAGAATAAAATAGTTTCTACAATCCCAAAATTATAGGAATACTTTTTTCTTGACATTAGGAAAATCAGGAAACGACCGCTAGAAATTCAGATATAAAAATAAGCAGTGAGAACAACTGTTCTGCCTTCCTCAGGAGCCAAAAAACAGATATGCATATAGGCGTCTGGATATGATGTAGGGTATTGCTGGCTAGAATATAAAAACGAGTCTTAAACCGTTCTGTATGTGTTTTACATCTACATAAAAACGCATGTTCGATACTTAGGTATTTACGCCTGTTACACCTCATAAAAGAACCAAGGCCATCAACCAGTAGTCGTCATCCAACTCCATCCTGAACAATCCTTTCCAGTTCTTCCAGATCCTATTCATTCTTTTCATGTCTGCTTCGAATTCTCGACGCAATCTGTTCGTCAATCTTCCTCCTTTCCGTTTACCTTCATGACTCTAAGTCAGGGCTTCCCTCGTGATTCAACTGGATGATTTCCTCAATGTATGTCCTGTCCACCTCCAGTGTCTTTTCCTAATTCCCTCTTCAGTTAGAAGTTGCTTTGTTCTCTACCACACTAGTTCGTTGCTGATGGTATCCGACCAACAGACATTCGGTATCTTACGAAGACAATGCTTTATAAATACCTGTACCTTCTTAATGACGGTTGTGGTAGTTCCCGAAGTTTCAGCTCCGTACGGTAGAACTGTCTTTACGTTCGTATTGAAGATTCTCACTTTGATATTGGTTGACAGTGGTTTTGAGTTCCATATGTCCTTCAACTGTAGGAGTGCGGCTGTCGCTTTGCCAATCCTCACCTGCACACCTGCATCGAATCCTCCTTGTTCATCGATGGTGCTACCCAGATACGTGATAATTTCCACCTCTTCCAGAGCTCCTCCATCAAGTGAGATTGTGTTGGTGTCCTGTGTGATGTATTTGAGGATGTTGCTTTTTGCCTTGTGTATGTTGAGACCTATTGCTGCAAAGGCTGCTGCTAAACTGGTTGTCTTCATCTGCATTTGTTCGTGTGTATGGAATAGAAGAGCTAGGACATGTGCAAAGTCCGAATCGTCTAGTTGCATCCAGGTTGTCCATTGTATTCTGTGCTTCCCCTTGGATGTGGAGGTCTTCATAATTCAGTCAACCTCCGGAAGGAAGAAATAGGGGGCAGTAGGATAGTGAATGTCTTACTCTATATTATTGTTTGACTGATTAATGAGTTATTCATTAATAAATATCTTTAATTAGAAACTAATTTCTTTTAAATACTAGTTATTTGACAATCAAGTGAAAAATAGACTAGATGCTTCTCTAGGATTGAGAAACACGTTCAATTATGAAAGCTCTCTCCCTTAACAGGATCATAGATTTTTCATAGTCTACTACGTATATTTCAATCTCATTTAATTAATACTCATATGTCTCTATTATCAAGATAATCCAGATTGTTATCATACAAAATTGTTTTCATTAATTTGAAGAGAATTGGCCTCGCTAGAAGAGCTTTCACAAGCCGGTCAAAGATGCACTTGGATTGGACAAGATTATGTCAACTGGAGTTTAGTTGAACCAACTGCCAAAGAGCATCCAGCATTGGGTTAGTAATAAAATTTGATATACATACGATTGAATTCGAAGTACTATATTTCCCTCACTCTTTATCTTTGGAATTTAGTTTTCTATACTTTAAAATGTGTACCCTACGGTTTACATATCATGGTTAAATAGTCAGAGAAATCAAATTTTAATCGCTAAACCCTACCATTTCCAGGTTATTTTGTATCCAAAAAAGATTGAATCAATGGTAAGACTCGGAAGTTATTTATAGACTGTTATTATATTATATTATATACATATTGTACAACTATTGAGTAACAAGATTATGCATGAGTACGGATATCTGTAGAGATTGTAGCATTTTAACAGCTAAATTTACAAGCCGATGTAAGCTAGTTCCCTAGTGAAAAACTGGAAGCACTGGACAGCCGTTTCATCCTACATGGGAATCCTCAGAAATGCGCGTCTACGATCCTACATATTTATATTTATTTTACCATAAGACTTTGTTTGACCTAATAGCTCCAATTATACTTTGCACATGTCTTAGCTCTTCTATTCCATACACACGAACAAATGCAGATGAAGACAACCAGTTTAGCAGCAGCCTTTGCAGCAATAGGTCTCAACATACACAAGGCAAAAAGCAACATCCTCAAATACATCACACAGGACACCAACACAATCTCACTTGATGGAGGAGCTCTGGAAGAGGTGGAAATTATCACGTATCTGGGTAGCACCATCGATGAACAAGGAGGATTCAATGCAGGTGTGCAGGTGAGGATTGGCAAAGCGACAGCCGCACTCCTACAGTTGAAGGACATATGGAACTCAAAACCACTGTCAACCAATATCAAAGTGAGAATCTTCAATACGAACGTAAAGACAGTTCTACCGTACGGAGCTGAAACTTCGGGAACTACCACAACCGTCATTAAGAAGGTACAGGTATTTATAAAGCATTGTCTTCGTAAGATACCGAATGTCTGTTGGTCGGATACCATCAGCAACGAACTAGTGTGGTAGAGAACAAAGCAACTTCCAACTGAAGAGGGAATTAGGAAGAGACACTGGAGGTGGACAGGACATACATTGAGGAAATCATCCAGTTGAATCACGAGGGAAGCCCTGACTTAGAGTCATGAAGGTAAACGGAAAGGAGGAAGATTGACGAACAGATTGCGTCGAGAATTCGAAGCAGACATGAAAAGAATGAATAGGATCTGGAAGAAGTGGAAAGGATTGTTCAGGATGGAGTTGGATGACGACTACTGGTTGATGGCCTTGGTTCTTCTATGAGGTGTAACTGGCGTAATGAACGGAGTTGGATGACCTTCACTGGTGTATGGCTTACCCTCCTCCATTAAGGTTAACAGACGTACGTATGGATGTTGGCTTATGTTGTTTTCTGATCTAGAATTTGCTGGCCTTGTCTTCCAGGTACTCTTATGAAATCAATCAATTACTCATGTTTGAATAATAGCTGCCAATACTAGTTAATATATTATTTGTGTTGCTCAGTTTTAAGTCGTTGTAATGCAGTAATTTGATTGGCTATTTCGTTGCGTGTTATTTTACTGAGCTGTGTGTCAGAACGTTTTATCTGATATGGAATTCAATCTTGGAACTGCTGGTATAGTTCGGAAATGGCGTAACTTAGTTACTAAACATTGCCATTCTATTTCATGTAATTGAAAATGTTTATACTTTCACAACTATTTGCCTAGTACTGAGTAATTTTCGGTTAAACGCAAGATTATAAGTAGAAGCGATCTGACCTATGTGTTTAAGAGTGATATAGTGAAACCAGTTTTTAACCTGAACCTATAATATGGTTATCTCATTCGTAATCCTATTTTCTCACCATTTATTATAAAATTTCCCCTCTTCTTTTATCAAGATTTTTTACGCTTTGCGTAATGTCTTTACTAATTATTGTTGTTATCATTGTTATCATCACAATAGCTATAACACAACATTTCCTACTACAATTTTCACGAACAATGTTATTCCAATGACTAGAACTCATCAACTCAGGACGTATTTCTTTTTATTCTCTCTTAATATATAACCTTTTTAACTTAACCAACAATGTTTTTGGTTAGAAGTTAGAGCTTAATCTATGTACAATACATTAATTTCAAACCACATCATCGACTAATATTATTTATGAATATGGCATATCTGACGTTTACATGAGAATTCAGTTAACTATTTTTACCAATGAGAAACACGTCACCACATAAATAAAGTCACAAATATTTATTATTTTTTAAAATTAACAATAAACTTATTTTACTTGGTATTTTCTTTTGCAGATTTAGTAGATAGAACGTGCGTTCCACGTATGCCATGGCATGATGTTGGCTGTGTGTTTGTTGGTACTGCTGCCTGTGATATATCTAGACACTTTATTCAACGTTGGAATCAAATACGAGTAAGTTATACCATATTACTTAGATTCAGCAAAATTGTGTTTTATTTAAGATATAGTTATCTTAGTATAATATGTTATTAATTAATTTGGATTAACAAAATAAAAAACCTTAAGTAAATATCTTTGTGGTACTTTAACGTTTTTGCCAGTTTTTTCAATGCGTTAAGTGTCTACTTTAGGTTTTTACACAAGTATACTTTTCAGTACATTAAAGATAACATAAAAATATGCAAAAATATTCACATTATATTATCATTTAATCAATAAAATACCATTGGTATCAGAAGATTTTAAAAAAGAAGTGAACTCCGTAGATGAAAAGATATTATTATAGTGAGTTATTACAATAAATATTATAATGCAAATAAATATGTTTTCCATGTTTGCATATTAATGTGTGAACACCTACTTACTTAATTACTTCTGTTACTCCCGATGGAGCATAGGCCGCTGTCCAGCATTCTCCAACCCACTCTGTCCTGGGCCTTCCTTTCTCGTTCTATTCAATTTTTGTTCATTTTTCTCATGTCCACCTCCATTTCTCGACGTAATATGTTCTTTCGTCTTCTTTTCCTTTGGCCTTGAGGATTCCACAGTTCAGTGCTTTCCTCAATGTGTGTCCTATCCACTTCCAGTGCTTCTTCCTGATTTCTTCCTCCACTGGGATCTGGTTTGTTCTCTCTTACAGTAGGTTGTTGCTGATAATGTCTGGCCAACGGACCCGAAGTATTTTGCATAGAAAGCAGTTCCCAAACACTTGTATCTTCTAGATGATGGCTTTCATAGTTCTCCAGGTTTCTGCCTCATACAGTAAAACTGTCTTGACATTTGTATTGAAAATTCCGACCTTGGTGTTGGTTGACAGTTGTTTTGAGTTCTAGATCTTCTTCAGTTGTAAATGTGCTGTTCTTACTTTGCCGATCTACGCCTTCACATCTGCATCAGATCTACCGTGCTCGTCAATGATGCTGCCCACATATGTAAAGGTTTCTACATATTCCAAAGCTTCTCCGTCAATTGTGATTTGATTATTGCATGCTGTTGTATCGGAGAATCTTGCTTTTCCCTTTGTGTATGTTGACACCTACTGCTGCTGCACTGGTCGTCTTTTCCTGCATTTGTTGTATGTGCGATAGAAGAGCCAAATCATCTGCGAAGTCTAGATCGTTCAACTGCATCCTAGCTGTCCACTGTATTCCATGCTTCCCCCCAAATGTTGACGTGTTCATGGTCCAGTCGATCACCAGGAGAAAGAAGAAGGGTGAGAGTAAGCAACCTTGCCTGACACCGGTCTTTGCTTCGAGCGAGTTTGTCAACTGTCCTCCATGTACGATTTTGCAGTTTAATTCATCATAGGAATTCTGTATGATATTGACTATCTTTTGAGGCACGTCGTAGTGTCGAAGAAGCTTCCATAGTGCTGTTCTGTCCACGTTGTTAAATGCTTTCTTGTAGTCAATGAAGTTGATGTAAAATGATGAATTCCATTCAACTGATTGTTCTACAATGATCCGTGATGTTGCAATTTAGTCTATACACGATCGATCTTTTTGGAATCCAGCCTGTTGGTCTCGAAGTTGGGCATCTACGGAGGCCTTCATTCTGTTTAACTATACCCTGTTGAATGATATGTGAATATTTGGTTTTTATTTTCCAAATTCATGCTCAATTATGATTGATTTAATTTGATAATACTTATATTAGTCGATGAATATTATTTTCAATTTATGATCATAAAAATTTTTATTTTATATATTCGTTGATAACTATTTCACATGAATAGTTATGTTTGAACATTAGGTATTTTCAAATGATAGTAGTAAATAATTTTGTTATTTAAAAGTCATTGATAAACATAACAAATTTTGTAATAGCTTTACAGTATTAGTTAAATTTAAAAGAAAAACTGATTGTAACCATATTTTTGTTGGAAACTAATTTACCTTACAGTTATTTTCCAAATATTTCTTTACATTATATTACCTTTATACTCAATTTTGATTAGAATAGATGAATTGGTTGAAATCATCTTAAATTCATAATTAATTAATTAGTTATATTTAACTGATATGAGTTAAATATTATTTCTTTATTTCCATTTAACAATCACATTACTGATGATGGATTATTGAATGGTATTTAAATGTATGTAGATGATAAACAATTTATATAAATCACATTGATTTCTAGTTTATTTTTCTTTGTACAATAAGTATAAGGTATCTTTGAGTGCATCTTTATTTCACAGATCAATAATCTACATGCGTACGTACATCGGCTAATTAAAAACTCCTCTATTGCTTCGATTATTTTTAGCGATATTACTATGGACATAAAACACATTACATTGGCATTTTACGAATTAAAATTCTGATTAAATAACAGAAGAAAAAAGTTATCAGGCTAAACAATTTTGTTGAAAAAAGGTTTTTTAAAACAATTTCAATGTGATAATATTCTATAATGAATTTTGTTCTAGAAAACTCTTGATAGAGCTTTTAATAGAACTGAATAAAAAAAATTATATTCATAGGGGTATGTTCAGAAACTACAAACAGGTGAACTAAGTAAATATTTGCATATCATCTATAATAAATTGCAAGCTTTACATATTAGTATTTTTTCTAATTTCTCGATGTAAATTTCATTATGATTGAAATTGATTTACGATAAGTACCTGCAATCTTACATGAACTGTTACTAGTTGAAGGGTTTGCCTAAACCATAAACCTAGACAACATGACAGTGGTAATGCTCCAAATTATTCATGCTAAATTCAAGATATCTGAGTGTCAAAAACCGGTATGTGCACTTCCTCAGAAAATATATAAATATGGAATACCGTTTTGGGATTAGCAAATTCGAACTGTTTAATGAGTATCATTGTATGGAGTTTTTGATTTTAGTAAAACATTTCAATTTGATAAAATTATTGAGCTGGACATATAATATTAGTGATCATCGACTGAAAGTTACTAAAATTCTTTTCTACCATTTCAAATAAGCGTAATGAATGTATTTTTACTGAGTAAAGAAGTGTTATGATCTTATTCTTTTTGTTCCAGTATGTTGACATCTTAGTACCATTGTAATATTGATGTACTATTATTAGTTCAAGCTGAATATTTGTATATTTTTTTCAAATAGACTCAAAAGCCTTTTAAAGAAAAGATACTTCAATTTGTTGCTGGTCAAAACGCGTTACATTTATCTTATCAGTGAATTTTTTCAATTAATGATTAACGTATATTCTGAATAACTTTGCATATGTTCTTCGACTCAAACTGTTGATAAAATTGCCATATTGAAGTTAAAAATACATGTGTTTAAAATGAGCATATTCTGCACGGTCATATGAACAGCAATACAATAAGAGCGGTTAGTATATGTGCTTTTCCAAATTGGCATACTAGTCAAAATTAATGTTGGGTCTGCTGAATAAATCATAGAATCACAAAACAGTTGATTAGGTTAGTAATAAACAGATAAATACATGGTAACTAGCAAACATACATCAATAAAACTCTCATCACACTGGTCATATGAGAAATCATAAATTGTAATTCAAGAAAACTACCAATGACACGTTTACTGATCAAGCTTGTACGGAAAAAGTATTCCATTGGGCTGTGATAAGAACTACTATAAAATCTAATATATTTTTAAGATTCTGTTCATTTTATTTTATTTTTTGATTGTATCATCGAATAGATCAAGTCGTTAGTGTACGAAACAGAGTTGTACAAAATCTTCTTCGGTGGTTGTAATTCGTCAACTTAACGAGTATCTTAATTTAAAGCCAGTTATAGTTTTGCAAAAGTTTAATATCTAAACTTTTTTCCATGTTTTTGTCACTTAGTAAATCCTTTGAATTATTTAATTGAACTATTTTCTTACAGTTCAGGAAAATAAGGTCTGCACCAAAGGGAAGTGGAAAACGGATTTTTCAACGTCTCGTACCTGGCTTGTTACCATCACACCCATGTTCTCCATGGACTGAAACAAAATTGTCAACGATCCTTGTAGACCCAAGGCAATCTGCAGTGTGTACTGTACAAGCTCTGCGAAGTGTTGCTAACTGGTCGTTAGGAGTTCAATCGGGAGATAAAAAAGGTTTCCGTAAAGCTTTCCGCAGATTATTTCATCAAAACTTGCCTAGTCGGTACAAAAATAACATTGATCTCGATGAAACCAAAGAACAAATTGGATTAGAAAAGTCGGTTCTAAATGCTTACATTGATATGATAAACCAGGCAGAAAACTTTATATATATTGAAAACCAGTATTTTATCAGCTACATCCTAGGATCACAAGAAGATCAACACAGTAATGATGATCTTGAAAGCGAAAAAAATTCTACAATTGAAAAAAGTCCTCATGGACAAGCATCTGATCACCTTCAACCTAGTAACTCTAATGCTTTGGTCAAAAATCGCATATGTGAAGCCATTTATCTTCGTATTTTACGAGCTTATAAGTACGAGAATGCAAAAGATTTTTTTATATATCAACTATTATTAGTATACCTTTAGTAAAATGGTTCCGAAGCTATGTTTATACCCGAATGCCATTTACATTATGTGAAAGTACTTTGATTTATGAACTGACGTCATCTGCAAAACAGATGAAATTTGAGAACTAGGCGGCTATATTTTCCTAGTTTGACTTATCACTAATACATATGCATAACTCAACATAATATCAAGCCAAGGTTCTCAGTAAATTTACACGTATGGTACCATGTGTCACTTAGTCGTAATCCAATTAGCAGCATCATATAATAACCTAGCATGGTATATTTTGAGCATTTCACAAAAAAACATACTGAGATACAATGTATGATCCTCTTCTCACAAGCTGGTATGAGTAAACTCTTACATTTGCATCAACTTAATATATAAACTTTCAAATGAAAACAAAATTGCATCTTAAAGTTATGATCAATTTTCAATATATTTTAAGTAAGCTTTGTTACATTTAGAAGTACATTTTTTTCATATAAGTAGTCGTTTATGTGATTTTGGAAGGACGAGAAACCAACATATTCAGAGTCTTTTAGCAGCTTATTTACTTTAGTCAATCAACTAATGTTTGATGTATAATTTTAATCGAATACACTCAAAATCACACAAGAACTAAATCCTTTTCTGGAATTTGAAAAGAATGAAACTAATGTTCATACATTGCCTAACAATCGATAAACGTAACAATGAGTGAAAATAATATAAATAAAAATTGAACATCAGTTAATAAATACTTCATGATAAGGCACAATGTGTAAGCCACTGTGTATTAGCTACTGATAGAAAAAAAAGGTAATAACTTGATGTGAAATACTTAGCTTAATACATGTAATTTAATAGTTAGATTCATGGCAAACCTGGAAGCACTTGATGGCCGTTTTGCCGTAGTATGAGACTCCTCAGCAGTGCTCATACACGATCTCGCTTCACAATATTTGAACTCAGGAGCTATCAGTCTCGAGCGCGAACGCGAACTATTAAGTTACTACAATATCCATAAAACCCCTCTCTAGTTATAATATATGTAATTTTTAGTCTGCAATCATGTGTATGAAAAATTTGCAATTAGTCAGTTGTAACGCAGCAAAGATTTTGTTGTTTAACATTAAGATGTATGTTGTTAGTCAAAATACCTGATGTTGTCCTTGTTAAAACCAGTGCAAATGTTGAATGTTCCTTGAAGTAAATAATCATGTAAGACGTAGATTTCTATCATAAAAGATTCAACATAATCCAGAAGAACAAATAATTCCCGAAATCATTGCATTATCGAAATTTATCAAAGGGACTAATTGTTTTAAATCCAGTAAAAACTAATATTAGTAAACTTTGTTGTATGGTAAAAAAACTTAAAAAGAGAGGTTTCAGATTGGTAGAGCATAGAATTATCAGTCCCCAAGAAAAATCACTCTTCAATTTTCTTGGACTGACAATATGGATGGTGGCTAATATGTTATGAACTATTTATAACGCCAACATTTTCAGCTTCCGACGATTCCAAGGTCATATTAAGAGTGATTACTTAGTATTTGAAAGACGTTCCAAATAAATTTATTTATTTCTAATTTTTACTCACAATTGATATAATAAAAAATGTATTGGCAAAAGACAGTGTCAACATAACACTGACTTTCCTTTGATTGGAATAGCTTTTTTCAGAATTTCAATGCCTAACCCAATGGAATTAAATGAAAATTATGTTAAACAAAACGAGAGTAAGCTAACTTCTTCATTGTGAACACTAGATGTGTGCAAGTTTTAAACTGAATAATCACTAAAATGTTCAAGTATTTAGCCTCCTCTCCTCCATATTACTAAACATTTATGTTAGTTTTTTATCTGAAAAATAATTTAATTGATATATATCCTATAAAGATTTAAACTAAATAAGTATCAAGTGAATTATATTTTTCGAATTCTACTTTTCAGCGAAGGAAAACTCTTCCGTGTTTTCATAATGCTCCCTTCACTTACCGCGTTCAAAGGTGAAGTTGGGACTTCATCTGGAACGTATATACATGCAATTTTACACTATACACGACAAAGCTTGTTTACAGGTGAACATGCTTTAATTCCCCGGTTGAAACATATTTTACCGAATCCTGAAGACTATGTTTCTATATGTAGCTTAAGAAATTATGACGAATGGCCTGATGGTTCTATAGTAAGTCAACTTAGTGTAGTATTAAACGTATTAACAAACCAATGTAATTTGAATTAACGTCAGTGTAAAATTAGTGACTGTTGTTTCAAGCGTCAATGAGATAAGCTATTTGTAAACATTCCTATTTACGTGCGTTATAACTGAAAAGAAAGGCATGACAATGGGCTTTACTTTCGAAATGTTAGAAACAAATTGCTAGGAATTGATGTCGCTATTCTGGGATATTCCATATGTAGTTAGTTTTGAAAAACTGTTTTTTTTAATATTAAAACTCAGTTATTCAAGGCTGAAGTTGGCATGACTCAAGATTGATTTCTAACCAAAGAGTTCATTCACTCTTTATTCTTCTATGTGGATTCCACACTCTTTCACTGAAGTCATACATGTATTTTAACCGTAAATATTTTTGGCTTTATTTCAAGTAAATATACTTGAAAATTTGTGATATTATACACTTCTTACACTGTCATTTTGCTGTTTTGTTTAATTATTGTAATGTGGACTGTTTTAACATCATAATTAATGATGAGCAATTAAATATTTGTACTTTTTACAGAATAAATCATTCCGCACTAATTAATGACTGTAAAATTACCTTAGTCTATTTTCAGTTTATTTTATTTCCAAGTTCTTTGAAACTGCTTTCGTAACTAATTACTTTGATTAGTCTGTTGAAATTCTTGTCTGTTTTAGGTGTATATATTATTTTTGTTAAATGTGTCGAATGTTTACTAATGTTCATCGTCGCGATATCTACTGATTTTATTGCTTTTCCTGATGCTTACTTATTTCAGCACTGATATTTCATCTTTGGTAAGATAATATTAGATAAGAGAAAAAAGACGATCAAAGAACTATTTATTACTAACCAAACTGAATCCTCACTACTAGTATGCGTTAAAGCGTTAAAATACGAAAATACTTTAATTTGTCACGTTGTAAGCATGATTCAGTGACCCTATGATTTTTACTGAGGGTAGATTGAACGACTAACATTACTCAAAAATCAATAAATAAAGTAATTTAATCTTCTTATGATCCCTCAATATAGTAGAAGACAAGAAACAACCATGAATTAATATAATCTTTTATGCATAGATTGCAGAATATTTTAAATAATTTTTAGAACAATGTATCTATGATCTTATATGGAAATCAGTTCGCTAGATTATTCCAGGTACTTTTAACATGATTTACCACTTTTTAGCAAGTAGTTTATTTACGTAATGTTTCAATGACATGATGCACCTATGAATCTCCTAGTGAATATAACGTTTTAAAACATTAAACATATAAGGATTCCTCATTGAAATGGCTTTCAGAATTGCGTTATTCGTTTTCGAGTTTATCCTTCTCTTTCCATTTCAGAGAACAGAACTAATTTACATTCACAGCAAAGTTATGATTGTTGACGACAAGAAGATGGTTTTGGGATCAGCTAATATAAATGATCGAAGCATGTTGGGCTTTCGTGATAGTGAATTGGGTATTATAATCGAAAGTAACTCAGACAATGACTTAATTGAGGGAAAGCTTGGAAATACATGTGCAAAAGTACATCCATTTATACAAAGATTTCGCAGAAGTTTGATGGCTGAATTCCTTGGAATGTTGCCAAAGATTCCAAAAGAATACAAAACGTATGTGCATCATGACCTGTTAGATGACCCAGTATCAAATGAATTTTTCCACGACGTTTGGAATGCAACTGCTGTTAAGAACGGAGAGATTTTCGAGAAAGTGAGGAGCTAATTATTTTTTCCATATTATATATAAACAAATAACTATTCTATAAAAGTCATATCTCCATGTTTAATTGTTGAGTAGCCATATAGCTATAAATATTATTACAAATATAGTGTTTGCAAGATAATGTGGGTTCCTGTTTAAGTTGAGTAGTTTTTTTGTTAAAAAGAGGAAAAGTAATGTTACAAATGAAGTTAAATCCTCAACACCAACAAAAAAGTAAAAAAAATGTTACAAACATTTGAACGGAAGTTGACAACAGGTGTAAATCTTTAGTGCCATATGGCTTTTCAATTATTCAGTGGGCTGTTTAGCGAGTTTATATCTTAACTGCAACGAAATCTGTCAAATACTAGTAGCTTGTTTTTAAAACAAAAGCTATCAAACTAGAAACTGTGCAAACGATGAAAAGCAGTATTTTGTGTTTATGGAACTTGTTTAGGTTTCTTGTATTGTACTGAATCAATAAATGAAGATATTAAATTACACGCCGATATTTTCTTTTGTTAAAAATGATGCTCAATGTAGAATCTGTAACATCTATGCATACGTTCATGTTGCCATAATAGAATGAATAAATATCCCAAATATGCAATTCACTTCTCTAGAAATCTCAAAATTTAGGTAGCCTTGAGGGATTTATTTAATATAAAAATGTATTCTAAACATATTTAAAATATAGGATGACGAATTTTGAAGCGTTTTGTGATCACTATTTCACTCGTCACTTTCTCGTCAACATCACTATGATATTCATTTCCTTGAGAATGACCTAATTTTATTGTACAACTAAAGAGCATTTCATTAGGTGTTCGTGCTCATATTATCTAATAAAGGACGATTCACATCAAATAAATAAATGAATGAGAAACTGTACAGATGAACCAGTGTTAATGAGTATGACGTTCTTGGCAAAATGTAAGTTTGTGTAATGTTTTAAGAACGGTGGAGAATTTACAGATAATTAGAAGTTGTAACTTTGGAGTCTCACTAATTGATTTATAATTTGTTTTTTCACTAGTCAACAAAAAGAATATTCCTTTATAAAGCAATATGATGATTTCGTCTACTTTTTTTATGAATAGGTTTTTAATTGCATACCTGGCTCAGGCTTGTTAACCTTTCGACAGTGCGCTGAAAGGAGAAATGAAGTTCCATTAATTGTCAGTGATCGTGAAAAAGCAATTGAGTTACTTAAAAATGTAAGAGGCTACTTAGTACCATTTTATTCTGATTTCCTTGCGGACGAATCACTAGTATGTCCAGTAGGAAGTATAGAACGAATGATTCCAGAAGTAATTTGGACATGACACTCGGAATATTTTTTTCAGATTATCAGATAATCTAAAATACTTCTATTATTTTGTCTTTCTAAAGTGTTCATTACTTTTAAGAATAATTAATCATATTATATCAGTTCTTATTTAAATTATTTGTAACTTTTTTATAGTAATTCAGATTTCATTAACTTAACTTTATTTTTGCTAAGTATAACTTTTATACTTTTCCGAAACATTTTAACACGTTTATGTCTTTCTAAACAGTCTGAAAATGAATCCAAACGAAACTTTAAATAGCAGTAAAACATAAAGCTTTGAATAATATTTTTACAGTTGTGCAAAAAGATAACTCTCCAAGAACAACTTGAACCGGTGAATACATTAAAATAGGTTGATTTTGTTTTTATCAGAGGTACTGACAGTGGTTATTACTACTACTATAGAATACTTATAACAAAATGATTAACTATTTAGATATGTTTCAAGTATATTCTTATTTTCTTTCACAGTATTAAACAAAAATAAATATTACGTATAATGAGTGTATTTTTCAACACTGATTTAATTACATAAATTTCTCGGTTGCTCCATTTCGACAGTAACAAAATAGGAGTAGACTTGAATTGTAGTATAACTTTCGAACTTTAAGAAATCCAAATTCAAACTTTAATAACTGATTAAAACGGCTTAATTTTCTCCAAAATAAAACAAAATAACGTCAAATAATAGTATTACCTTTCCGCCTTTCAACGAAACAGATGTAATGAAACGAAGTGAAATGTCTTCTGTGACATTTCATAAAATTATCTGCAGAAAACAATATGCATTCATTTCGACGATGTGAATTGATGGACCATCAAAATCAGGCCCCTATAATTTCTCTAGATCTGGCTGAGTGACTTTTCATTTAATTCACAATCAGTGTTCTTGATGGTAGTACCACAAAGTTTTGCTATGTCGTTCAGGTTATAAATAGACTAGACGACCTCTAGTTTTCCTAAAAATCAGTGTAAAATAGCCCCTTGCGAATCAGATTTATGATAAATGTGTCATGCAAGTGTCATAGTAGTTAACAAGGTAAAGGTAACCATTTGATGGAAATAAGAGTTCTCTGATATTAGTGTGGTTGTAATTAAATATGGCAGTTAGACTGTAAATTGAAAAGAGGAGAACACAAATATTTTTCTCCTAAATTATGGTTAGTATTAGGTGGAAGTAACTGGTCACTCATTCAGTCGAATGTGGCTTTTAATCTTAGGATTCACATGTGCATGTTAACTGAGATCACTGCCCTATAGCCTTATGAATGAAAATTATGTGCCTTATTGATCTATTGCGCATCACCCTACCATTACAGAACTGTTCTATGTGGACACTACGGCTGGTATGGAAGGATTTAACTCTGTTAATATATTACTAGTATTTTTAAGGATATTTAACATTTACAGTCAAGGTTCAGTTGGAATAAGCTGTTGATTCACATTCCCCTTACCGTCCTAACTGTTTTGCACTTTTACTGTCAAATATCAAGGGTTAATTTTTCTATGGAATTATTTCACCAATCTGTACGTAGAAAAGTTATTCTTCCTTTTGAGGGCTTTATAAAGGCTGTCATAATTTGGAAGCATGTTTCTTTCTAGCTTGTACTTCATAGTGAATTAATAATCTGCAGATGTGTTTGGCAGAATTAAACATCTGTGAGATGAAAGAAAGTGGCTACCGTGAGCTTTTCAATGTGCCCGTTATTATGTGAAAAAAATATTTTACTTATTCAAACTAGTAAGTGACTGTTTATTTCCTTGAGTATTTGAAATACTTTACAGAGAACATATCTGTAATCTCACTAACAGTTCTTTAGATGCTTAACGTATTCGTGAAGTCATGCATACGCAGATCAATCAATTAAACTTGAAGTTGATCAGTTAAACACTGCAAACGTTTTGTAAGAATTGGGTTGATTTTTAACTCTGGACATCATGAGAAACTGTTTGGTGAATAAATGTTCTACAATCACTCTAATTATGCATAGTTCCTAATAATACATTAGCTACTGATGGCTACTACAAATAAAATACTTTTTTTCTGTCATATGAATATGATATTCTACTAAATGACCTGCCATAAAAAAATTGTTTAAACTCTTATTGCTGTGGTACAAAGAAAATGAAATGTAAATGACTCTCAGTCAAGCCATTCACTAGGCATATCACTTAGCGTCGAATTGTTAATAGAGCCTTATGGAGGTTAAAGACAACCAGATTCCATCAAGCGGTTGCACTTCACGAACATGGATATGGAGCAGTGGTCCCATTTTTTGTTTCTCTTATTCGCTCTTACAAATATATGCAATTTCCCGTTCACAGTATTTCTCTTAACAACATCAAATGACCATTTAACCTTTTTATCGAGATAGGATAAGCCTGTAGCGGTAAATAAATCCCCAAAATAAATAGCACTAGATTTTCGACATTGGATGCTGACCATATGTTTTAGTGGACTCATTTAGCTGAACGCGCTCGGTCAGGCATCCGCACCAGATCACGTGTGGTAACGCCGTGCTCAGCATCAACCGCAATCGCTAGCCAGATTAGATCAGAGAATTCAGATATATTGGTCATCGCCAAATATACTCTTCCAATCTCCTCGACTCTGTCTTTTGATTTCTCTGGGCGGGAACGAAATATATTAGAAGGTGTTACTGGTAGAAGCGTTGTCAAACACTGAATACCTGTGACATCATTCATTGGTGAAACCGACGTGATCTGGTACACCTAATTGCAACTGTGAGTCTGTTCCTTTTTTGGGATTTTTATATATCATTGCCTTATTTTTTTATTTTTTTAAACATTGTGATTTTTTCGTGTTTCTTCTTGGATATATATATATTTTTCCCCTCGTTTCATTATCGTACTTCATACTTCATCATGACTGAACAGACACCTAAAGTACTCAAGCTTAAGACTTTGTCCCCGCCTTCGTTTCAACTGATGCCTTTCTGGCCTGACAACATCGAAGCCTGGTTTTGCTACGCAGAAGCCGACTTCTCCGAGCACGGCGTGATCGACACACGTGCACAATTCCTCGCAGTAGTCAAGGCACTACCGCGCGAATTCAACAGGTACGTAACACCTAGTATGTTTACTAGTGATGTTTCCGATCCTTACGAAATCTTAAAACGCTCGATTCTTAAACGGGGAGACTTCACGATCGACAAAGGTTAGATGAACTCTTCAATAATATCGACCTGCAACACGGTTCTGCTACAGACATGTTGCAACGGATGAGAGAGATTATAGGCCCAAGAACTTTCGACGAAGGTCTATTCAAACAACTCTTCTTGTCGAAACTTCTCCAACAGGTGCAAGCAGTTCTGGTCTCGTTCCAGAACAACGCCTTAGACGAACTAGCTGCATCTGCCGACCGCATTTTAGAAATTACGAAACTTTCTACCACCGAGGTATTTTCAGTCAAAGAAAAGCCTCATACGACTCAGAATGATATAACCGACTTATGTCACACACTCACGCGTTATCTTAGTCTTAGTACCGACCGTAAGAGATCGCGCACACCACGTAGAAGCATTTCTCGTAAGCGATCTGTCTCTAGACCACGAGAGACAGATAACCCCGACTGGTGCTGGTATCATAACCAGTATGGAACGTTTTCCAGAAATTGCAGAAAACCCTGCAATTTTCCCAACACGAAACCGACTGATTCGAAAAACAATTCGGGAAACTTCCAAGCCGGCACGCGTTAACGGCAACCGTGGCCGGCGAACATAGCCGTCTGTTATACGTCACAGATGTGACAACGAGAGTTCGTTACCTCGTCGATACTGGCGCAGAAGTTAGCGTTCTCCCAGCGAATCCCAACGATCGGCTTCAAGATTCGGCTTTAAACTTACAGGCGGCAAACGGAAAACAGATCGCTACGTATGGCAAAAGGTACGTTTACCTTAACGTGGGTTTACGCAAACCCATCCACTGGATTTTCGTTGTTGCAGATGTTTCTATGCCAATCATTGGTATGGATTTTCTACAACACCACAATCTGATCATCGACACGCGCAAACGGAGGCTAGTAGACGGTAACACTAATTTGTCCGTTTGCGTAACTTCTTTTACTGGTTGTAGAGTATCCCCAGTCACAGTTAAACATATGATAGACCCACTCTATCAACCACTACTCGATAAGTACCCTGAGATACAACAAACTCAAACGAAACTACCGTGTGTAACCAGCAATGTTACACATCACATCACGACTACAGGACCACCTGTATTTTCTAAAGCACGCCGACTAGCTCCTGAAAAGCTAAGGTTAGCGAAAAACGAATTCGATCACATGATGGACTTAGGAATCATACGACCGTCAAGTAGCCCATATGCATCTCCGTTGCACATGGTCCCTAAAAAGGACAGCAACGATTGGCGTCCAACTGGTGACTATCGGCGATTGAACGCGAAAACCATTCCCGATCGTTGCCCGTTGCCTCACATTCACGATTTGACAGCTACCTTGAAAGATACAACTGTCTTTTCGAAAATCGACTTGGTTAAAGCGTATAACCAAATCCCTATGGCTACTGACGACATTCCGAAAACAGCTATCATAACTCCCTTCGGACTCTATGAATTTTTGCGAATGCCTTTCGGTCTAAGAAATGCTGCTCAAACATTCCAAAGATTCATAGACGACGTTTTTCGAGGTCTCAACTTCGTACACGCGTATGTTGACGACTGTCTAATCGCAAGTCCGGACAGAGAAACACATCTCAAGCATCTGGATCTTGTTTTCGAACGACTTCAAAAACATGGCATAACTGTAAACGTTCAGAAATGCCAATTCGGAACCGACTCGTTAGACTTCCTAGGACACACTATCGATACTCAAGGCATTCGACCTCTTTGGACCAAAGTGGCGGCCATTCTGGATTACCCAGAACCGACCACCGTCAAGCAATTGCGCACGTTTAACGGCCTGGTAAGTTTCTATAGACGTTTCATACCGAAATGCGCATTACTTATGAAACCTCTGACCGACCAACTTCGTGGAAATGCGAAATCCATTAATTTGGACGACACCGCACGAAAAGCATTCTCCACAGTTAAGGAACTGATTGCTAAAGCAACAATGCTAGCACATCAGGACACCCGAGCACCCATTAGCATCGCAGTAGACGCATCCGACTCAGCAATCGGAGGAGTCCTACAACAATGGGTTAACAACTCCTGGCAACCCTTGGCATTTTTCTCTAGAAGGTTGCTAGACACCGAATCGAGGTACAGCACATTCGGTAGGGAACTCCTAGCTATGTATTGTGCTGTACGGCATTTCCAACACTACATCGAAGGTCGTGAATTTGTAGAATTATGGTCTACTACGATATTAGTACTGCTCTAATAATAGACCTAATCCTAAATTTGTAGATTCGTCATGATATAACTGCCTAATCTATAAGATCTTACGTGGAAGTCACACCATCGACTACGCCAACTCACTGTATCGTATCAATTACCAATACATGATCAAGAAG